TAAGGTGTTAAACCAAATACAAGGATTATTTCTACAGGGTGTCCACAAAGTACTCTTATCATCCTCATATATAGACTGATATGAGTCTATGGAGGAGTTGAAACAAGCAGTGTTTTGGTCATCACTCCATCCATGTTATGGAAGACGTTGTACCAAACATGGCGACAGATCATTACCTGCCATGAAAATGATGTCTGGACGTCTAAGTACAGTTAAACACTTGTACTGAATACAATTAAGTACTTCTAAATACAATTAGCATCAGTCTTCCACATGTTTCAGTTGTTGGTCAGTGCACTGTAAAAAAAGACTGTGAATCCCCCAGAACTGTGAAAAACAAAGTAACAGGACTTTGTGGACACACTGTAAAGTACATTTAAATGAATTTCAGTAGAAATAAAGATCACAAGCTGTATAGCTACAGTGGACATTGAAAACATATGCATTGAAATAATGTGATGGGTTTTCTACGTACTTTCGCATCCAAAGGTTTAGACTTCAAGGACAACAAATGATCTGCCACTCTAATCCAATATTTATACAAGTGGACCTCATCACAGTAACTCGAGGAACAATATTCAAATGTGTGACATGAAGTACTTTGAGACGTATTGAAGACATGATAAGGCGCTATATCAAATGCAAGGATTATTATTATATTATTATTATTCAGCTGCAACCTCAATTCCATTTATTGATAGTCATGAAGTATGTTAAGTTCCCAATCACTGGTTGCCACGAAGTACATAATGTCAGTCAGGTCACCTCTTGGAAATGTGTTTGCTTAGTTATTGTACAAACATTTTAACCTCACTCTACACTGTCATAGACTAATAAGCCTTCAGGGGCATTGAAAATATAGCTTTAAAAAACCCTAGTATAGGTTAAAATGTTCAATGGATAATATTGATGTTATTTTATCTTTATTTTCCCTTGATTTTCAGCAATCTTTGACAACAGAAGTGCTCAACTTCCAGTAAAGTACATAAGACAACCACAGAGATTACTGCCTGAGTACTGTAAATGCACGCAGGACAAAACCACAACGGTGGTGACATCCACAAAACCTTATGACCCGGATGTTGGTCACTTTTGCATTTCAAAATTCCCAACATCTGTCAAATAAAAAATGATGTTTAAGGATTGAATAATAATATTGAAGTGTACATATCCAAGTATATTCTAAGGCTTGATGCCAAGGGTTAGTAACATCAACCTTTGACATACTTATTTGAAGGGAGATACAAATTTAAAGTGGTATTTGAACAGAGGTAGTTGTACAACAATTATCAGATGATGGCCGTATTGACTATTAAAGGCAAAAATGCTCTCGCCTCATCTCGGGGAACCATTCAGCTCTGGGATACTTATCAATGGATGATGGCAAAAGTTAAGGTCATGCTGTTATTGGAAGTTAACTGGGAAAATGCTATCTGAACTGGGTCAGCAGCCAGATAAAACACTAAAATAAATGTTAAAAAGCAAGCAAGAGCAATGTTCAAAAGAAAAAGCATTTTCAACAAAGCAGACATTCCTGAACTCCAGAAAATGACCACTGGGTTGAAGATTTTGGTGAAATTATATCAGGGGTACATATAATAAATGACAAAAAAGGCAAGCTCTTATACACATTATACAAAAGTCAATTTATAGCAAATCTCTAACGTATAAACTCTTTTTCCCAAACCACTTAAATCATCTTTACTTAAAAAACAATTTCTCTCCTTTGAGTGTCTTCGCTTGAATCAAAGCAACTTAGTAAATTGGCATTGCTACATCACTGTATATCAGAACCTGACCTCATGATTAAAACAAACTAAATTTGACTAAAATCATTTAATAAGTCATCGCAATATCGACTTTTGCGCCAAACGCACTATTCAACTTAACATGAATTTATCATTTCATAATAAATAATACTAATACTTGCACTTGATATAGTGCCTTATCATGTTGGTGAGACATCTCAAAGCGCTTCCCAAGATTTACTGTAAAATCGATTGCCTGTGTATCTTGTGGATGAAACTCAACAGCCAGCTGGGTGCAGCAATGTCACACAAATAGCTATCAAGTGGGTTACCCTTTATCTCCTAATCCACAACCTGCTACCTCCTCTCGTCTGTCTCCGGCCTTCTGCATGTCCCTCATGCCCTCCGTTCCATCATTGATGGCTGAGCTTTCAGCCGGAAATTCTGGAACACTCTCCCTCTTGCCGCGGCTTGGAATCATGCTCCACCCACTGTCAAGCGCTCTGGGAAGCTCTCCTGCATGAGGGGCGGTCTATAAATGCAAGTTGTTGTTGTTGTTGTTCGAAATCTGAAACTCTCTCCTCCAAAAGGCTGTGGATCCTGAATCCATTCACATTTTCAAGACAGAGGTAGATATATATTTGTTAGGTCACGGTATTAAGGGATATAGGTCGAGGGCAGGTAACTGGACTTGTGGTATAGATCAGTCATGATTTTACGAAACAGTGGAACAAGCTTGAGGAGCTGAATAGTCTACTCCTGTTACACATTTTATGTATTTGAGGGAGGATTATTGACCAGAATATCTCTTTTTGGACAGCGCCTTGGGAACTTTAACACCCACCTGAACAGACAGATGGGACCTCCATTTAACATCTCATCCAAAGGATGCTAAAAATTTGAAAAGTATATATTTTTTAAAAAAATTGACAACAAGTTTTCCATGTGGGAGCTGGTAACATTTGTGATGGAATAAAACAAAAATAGTGCACAAGCCTAAATAAAGTACAGATTTAAAACCATCTCAGTAAATAATTCTACAACATGGATAGTGCAAAGAAGTTTCAAACTTTTCTTAATTTCCAAGTTAGTAATGATTAAAGCACAACAAGTCATAAATGGAATTAAAAGCTGTAAAAAACAAAAGATTACTTGCTAATATGCTTTTCCTTCTTTAAATACAGCCAACCATTCTCCATCCCATACAATTAAATCAACTAAGATAATACAGTACTTTTATTTGACACACCATTGTTTTTTCAAAGCGATTCACAAGCTTTACTGTGGAGGACAGCGATTGTATATTTTGTAGGCAAACATGGCAGCTAGTTTGTGCATAGCAATGTCCCACAAACAACTGTGATCAATTTGCTGGGACATTATCCTGCGTGTGGAACGCTACATAAACTCAAGTTGTTGTTGTTTTATCTGGTGAGTGTTGAAGCATCCCGGCTGAGTTTATTTTTGATGAGTGATACATCATGGGAATGTATGCTAAGCTTTGCTGATGTGAACTGTATATTTATAATCATTTTAATACTATTACAATCATTTGAATTTGTTAAAAGTTGATTGTTATGTGTTTTATTATGTATTGTGATGTATGATGGTAATTACTTAACATTTATACTGTCATACCATTGTTTTTACAAAAATCAACTAAGAACATTCTTGTAACCTTTGAAGCAAAACAGACACTGTCTTTGTCCTATTTAGTGTCCTTTCTGTACATGGTACAGATAGGCTTTCAAGTTAATTATATTGATAACCTTGTGACCTTTCTCAGCACGGACCCATGTATGTTTTTTCTTTCCTTACTTATTATCTTTCCTTGCTTCGTTGGATACATTAAGGTAGATATGAAAACATATTTTGTAAGAGGCTTGTGTGTTTGTAAAGGTGGTTGGGAAGTGCTTGATTGGAAAGGGGAGAGGTGAGCAAAAAGATCAGGAAAATGGTGTGTAAATATTGACCACTGACTAACCTAATATTGAAACAGCCTCTAAATGGAAGTAGAAGGCAATTAAGACAACTGTTTTCCAGATTGGTGACTATACCTTTCTATATATGCATATCAATACATAAAGCTTTTTTTAAAAAAATAGCACATATCTCTGTGTGCTTGGTTATTTTGATGATTAAAATCTGAAAATTAATAACTGTTTTATAAAGGAATTTATTTAAAGTAAATATAATACAAGATTGACCCATTCGCAGTCAACAAAGTGAATATCACTGAAGAGGCTGCAGCCTCTGCAGTTAACACATTGCCAATTTGAACTCACCATTGGAGGGCAGAAGTACTTTGATTTATACAGCAACTTGACCTGTAAATTAAAATGAAATTGGTGAAAAATTCCACCAGAATCTTAGACTAGACTACAAAAAATGTAATTACTTCCTCCCTACAGATAAAGAACACAGGAGATCATTTATAGAAAAACAGTCAATCGATGTAACAGTATATCACATGAATGGCTTTGGGATCTCTTCTTGACATAAAAAGCACTATACCAAATGCAAGGATTATTTGTTAGATTTGCTGACAAATGAAATGGACTTTCACATTGCTGTTAAAGCTGTAATGTAAAAGAGATCTGCTCTTAATGACTCAGAGGAAAAGTACTATAATAATAATATATTTGATATAGCTCCCTTCAAATCAGCAGAATGTCTCAAAGCACTTCACAGGATATATTGTAAAGCACATTGAATGTGTATCTTGTAGGTAAACACAGCAGCTAATTTGCACAATATCCCACAAACTTCCATGAAGTGAATGAACAATTTTATTTGGGGGATAGTTGAGCTGGACACTGGGGGAAACTGCCTTCCCTTTTGAAATAGTGCCATGGGCTCAAATAGTACGAAGAGATTTTCTGGAACAAAGCCTCCCCGTTGCAGAAATGAGGGGGACCACAAGATGTCATAAGATGTGAGCTTCTTATTATTCCCTCATTTCCCCTCACGGGGGACAGGATGCTTGTAGCGAGTGTGCTAGATTAAATTTGCTTTTGCTTTGACAGGCAGTTGAATGCTCCAGTTTTTGAGAGTCTGTGAGGTGAATGTGATTAAATCGATATACTGATAGATTCCAATGTAAACAATTGTACATTCATCTAAATGTTTGTCTCTCAAACTTGTTGCATTTCGCAATATTAAAAGTGAACTAGTAGAGGTTATAAGTTTCAAACAGCTGAGAAGTGGTCTGAATATATAGAAGGCTGTAGCAATAAAACAAATGCAAGGAAATAAAGGATTTTCTTTTATTAACAAAAGCTGAATTTTAATACAAATATTACAAAGTTACAGTCCAGGAATGAAACTATATGGAATGTATGTAAAATAATTTTCAGTTAGCGGAGTGTCAGTAATTAGCTCACATGATAGAATACAGGTTATCTCTGTGTTCAGTCACCCAGCAGACCACAAAATATATTGAACAGAGGCACACAACTTTATTTGGAGTTGGCAAATGGAATGTGGAACCAAACCAATGATTTTCAGCAATTTCCAACCGCTTGGCAGTTGAAAAGAAAGTTTTGCCGAATCTTGCTGGTAACATTTTGAATTGACATTCGGCAACATTTGTGCGATTAAAATGTAGTGCAGATAAACTGGACACCAATGCAATATAAGACGGAAACCTACCAGAAAGAATTCATTGTAGAGATCATAATGGAAATAAAAGGTGTGTTTTGGTGTCGGTTGAAGCAACTTTACATCAACTTTACTCCATTTTCCCCTTTCAACATGTGATCAAGCCAGATTGTAAAACCTAAAGTTTGGAAAGCACCTCACCTCAATTTGGCCCCCTAATAAATATGCTCCTCTTGCTTATCAAAAAAGGTGTTTCATGTTAGTCATGGCCCTCATGGAGCTTGTAGAGTTAAACCTCAAAGCAGAACACTTTAACCCTTTCAAAACAGATAAAACATCTGATTTATTTTAACAAGCTGCAAGTTATGACTAATCATTAGTCAAACACTTCACTCAATCTTTTCTTCAGTTTGAAGGTGAAAATTGATAATGAACAGTATCATGAGGCTGGTCGTCAACTTAAATTAATTGACTGGGCTAACCACCTACTCACTCCCTCACCTGGGAAAATAGTTAGCCCCCAAACTGTCCATTGCACCCCATAACATTGGACTATTGGTTAGTGGGTTATCGCTTTAACTCACCAAAACAATCTACTAATCACACTAATCCAGTAATACCATATGCAGCCAGCATTTTTGGCATAGCCACTATGACAGACTTGAGAGAGTAAAGTGAGAGGTGAAAAGGGGGGTAAAGCAAGCCACACCCAGGTCAGTTAAATAAAGATTAGCTGACTAAATCTTGATGTATTGCGATTTTCACCCACATTTCTGGGAAAGATTTCTGCATATAACTGATGATATAATCCTCACAATTCAGCAAACAATTCACAAGAAAATCAAAATAGGTTAAACAAGACCACTAAACCTTATTTCCCAAAAACTTAAACTTAAAAATAAATGTGTGTATGTGCAAACATTAGAGTAGACTTCTATGCTTCTATTTTGGGCCATAAATTTGACAGTGCAATCATTTCTTCAGTTAGAGAGGTCAGTGGTAAACCACAGCTTTGTTGCTTTTTCAAAAGAGTCCTGAAAATATTTTTGCAGCTTACTTTGATATTTGTAAGACTGAACAAATTGCTGAATTACAGGTTTTAACTGAAAGGAATAGTAAAAAGTTCAAGGTGATGAAATAATGTGCACTGTAGTTCATGATTTTGTTGCAATACAAGGTTTTAGACTCAACTTTAGAGGAAGGTTTTTATAATGAATAAATAGAAGCAATTTTGTAATTTTACAATCCAGTAATCCCCTGGGAAAGAGAGAGATGGAAGAGCGAGAATCAGGGTCATGTAAAAATTCTAAAGTGGTTATTTACAAAAGGATCTAGATCCAGTTACTGTTATTCTAGAATTGTTAAGGAATAAAAATCAATGTTAATATATTCATTGCAGGTTTTGCCTCTCAACATTTGGCATATCAATGTTAATCATTTGCATCCACAAATAAGCTTCAATGATAAGTCAAAATTTATGCTTAGCAGAAAAGCAGCTAATATTAAAAAATGCTCCTTCCAACAGGAGTCCGACTGGATTAAACAATGGCTCCAGAAAACTTGATACAAGACCATTCATTTTTAAAGCATAGCTGTCAAATACCCAGGAGTTAAAAAAAACAAGGTGTTTTGCTTAAAAAAACACCAAATTACAGTATTGCATTTCCGTAAGGTACACCTTTGTAGTCAGCACAAGTCATCACGCAAAATATTATTCTGAATATTGTTATAAAACTTCATTGATATTGCTGCACAGCTCATTTATAAAAGAGCATTGTGAAACGCATACAAACAATAGTTACACGTTTTAGTGTTTAAAGCTCAAGTCATGATATTCCCTTTAGGATGACAATACTTTACTGAATGGGATTCCTGGAACTGGGACACACGTGGTTATGTCAAATTGGCGGTTCATTACAAAACGTTGAGTCACTAAAATCCCCAAGAAATGCATTTTTAAACTAGCTGCATATTGTTGCAAATTATTGCATATTATTGGCAAAGTTCCAGGGAGGGAAAGAAAAATGAAGCACAACTGTCCAAATTAAATCTATTTTGGAAAATAAACACCCTGGGCACTGTAAAGCTATGAACTTGCGAAACTTCAGAGCTTTTTAAGAACTCGCAAAAAAGAAGTGTTTAAAAAAAAGCCCCTTTTTGGAATGCCTGCTATGTTCCATAAGTTGGTTGTAATCATGCAGAAGTTGCTCCAGAGGCCTAGAAAACAAACAGCAGTACAGTACAATCTTAGACTAAATCATCTAAAAAATTACAAACAGTTTTTAAATGAACAAGTATCCCTTCACACCATCCCCCTTTGCCAAATCAACCACAAATTCTGAACGAACATCAGCAACTTTTCTGTATTTTTTCAAAGCATTACCTACCCCTTCCCACCATTGATGCGAGTCTTTTAAATTAATGTACCTGCATGTCGCAGAGATGAGGGCACAACTTGGGCTCAACTCTTGCAGTACTTGAAAGGTGATTAATAATTAAGATAATCACTTATTTAAGAAAATCCGATAACAAAATGTTACTGAAAATTATGCAGGAAACTCAAAACCTCACATTCTACTAAACTTATTTGTATCTGCATCAAGATATATAAATGAGCTTATTTTTTAAAAAAACTAGTCCGTTGTCTGCAGGTATTGAAGGCACTAAAAGGAAAGAGGAGGCAAGTAAGGTTCTGCAGCACAGCTTTAAAATAGATTTCAAGGAAGGATTAATTACAATAAGCTCCTGATAACTCAACCCTGGCTTAACTAGTCACTACCATAAGCCATCATGGTGTCAATATCCCAACCACATTTATTTATGTATTTAATACATAAACCAAACTCGCCACTCCGGATAACTCGTCACTGACCCCTTTTTCTTTGAATGAATCCTGAATATTTAAATGAATCATATGAATCTTTCAATATTCATCTATTCCTTTCTGATTTACCCAACACACCATTATCCAATACAGAAATGTTCAGTTTCCAGGCCTGCAACTGGACTGTGAAACTGGCAGCAAGAACAAAGGTGGGGATAATGACAAAAGAAACTGTTGAAACTGCCTCTTATTAAATGACTCATTAATAGACACCAGCCTTAGAAGGCGAGTCAGAATGAATAAATAACATCTTGCTCCAAGACATTTCGTCCACAAATATACAGTCAATTCATTTAACAATCTATTCTGGGAAGTGCTTTGAGACGTCTCAACGACATGATAGGGTGCTCTATCAAATGCAAGAATTATTATTATTATTATTCCAGGTAACCATGACAAATGCTTCATTTTTCTGGATTTCAAATATCCATTGATCTAAAGTTCAATAGAAGTGAAGCAATATTCATCAGGATTGGAATTGAACTCACGCAACATTATTGAATTTTACAGGGATGCTCAAGAATGTGCTTTACATCTTTTTAAACAGTTCCATACATTTAATTTGTCTTATTTCAGCTGATTGTATACACCATGCAATATTTTGCAGAGGGGAGCAGGTCTGTGTGTGGTACTTTACTACCCTAGGTATACCAATATTACTTTTCTCACTGCATTCTTTGTAGTCCACCAAAAACATGGTAACTCAAAGCATTCTGTCTTTTGGAACATTCAAATTGTGTTAATCGGGGAGGGGAAGGATTGTATTCTTATCATGTGGTTCATATTTACTTCCCAAAGTAACAGCTCAGATTGCGCTGAAGTTTTAACCCTCTTGAAATCATTTATGCAAAGTAATCCAAGATTCTCTTGTCGTAAGGCAATCCTTACAACAAGAGAATAGATAACCTGATTTTTATAGTCCAACTTTTATTCATCACCTAAAAGGGATACTTGTTCTCATTACAAATAGGACAATAACATGCAAACATGCAACAGAAAGTCTTGAAGTAAGCAATGGAAAATTCCAAAGGGACTGAAAGCAATTTAGAAATTCATTAACCGTTTCCTTCACAACAAAGAAACAAAACCAAAGACAGACGGAAGATGAAATGTACAAAAAAGAAGTGAAGAAGCTCAGTTACTTCAATAATGTGCTGTTCGCTGAAATAGTAAGTAGTATTGAAAAACAACAAAATGACATGGAAAAACTCATTAAAAAATCTGTTATTAGAAGCATTAATTTACTTTCTTGAACATAAATAATATTAAGTATTTAGAAAGACTTTAAAAGAAACATCTAATGCAATCAAGACATTACTGCTTTCAGTTCTATCCTTCTGAAGACTGAATAGATAACATGCAGTGAAGCTAAACACTGAAAGAATGTACAAAATAGAATTTAACCATATCACACCAGTGTAAGAAAGTGAGTGACTGCCAAGCCATGTACTCTCCATGAAGACCAAATATTTCATCAACAGTGATGTTGTACATTTTACATGCAAACTTACAAATTTAACAGTTACTAGTTAACTGACTTTAGTCAATTATGAACGGTCAATCTCTTTTTCTAACAAAACCTTGTGATTTCCGATTTTAAATATCTAAAGTTGGGCAGTGCAAAACATATTTAGTGTGATATAGGTGTACATAAAGATGAGAAAAATCACTGTTAGAAAAACACAAACATATACACACTAGTTACTGACTTGGCAAACAAATGAGGTATATCGGCAACAGTTAAATTTAACTGTGTGAATTGAGCATTAACTTCCAAGCAGAAGAGCGGGAATTCAAAGCCCAACTTTGGCTCAAAACTTCAAATATACCAATTAACTCTGTGCAGGTTTTGCTCAGTCTTGGCAAGGCCACTTTCACTGAATGAATGGCACAGCAAAAAGTTGGTCCATTTCAGCAAAGATGAAAAACTGGTACCTGGCAGCATTCTGCAAAGGCACACCACTCGTCAGCTGATCATGACGGTGGGGAAATGGCAAATACATAACCAAACATGTGTTGAAAGTTATTGATAGCATTTAGAACACAAGCAGGACATCATGTTAGTCCATCTAGAAGATGTTGGGAGTTCAGTTGAACTTTTGATAATGTTCACTGTGATCAGAATAACTGATGTTTGAAAAACCGTGAAGCCTAATTATAATGTGCCAAGTACGGTTTCATTGTATCGCTACACATGGAGGGCGGAGCAAGGAAAATACCTCAGCCAACCATGTAATGGGTAAATAGAGAAATAAGAAAAGCAGGATATCCTGAGCAGAGCACAGGGCAAAGGCTTCCCCAGAATGAGCCCAGTCTATAAGGACAGAAAGGTACAAGTAGTAACAGTGAAATTCCTGGAGGATGGCAGATTCCTCACTGGCACCTACCATTGGCTTCATCTCTCCCCCACTACCACCTCTCCCTTGATCAGCATCCCTCAATGCTTTTCGACTGTTTTCCACATACTCCTGCAACAGAAACAGAAACTCACTGAAAGGTAAAAAGGAATTGCAGAATTTCTGTAAGCACGATCGGGATAATTTTTTAAGCAACTCCCTAGGAGTGTTGTTAACAGAAACATATTAAAATGCATGATTCATAGCATAGCTAAATTTATTTGTGTTTATGGTGTACATCTCATGTAGAAAAGATGGTCAGGATGGCAAACATAAGCTCCCTCTGCCTTCAGAGGAGCACTCTTGTTGATGTTAGCTGGCCTTAGATGACAGCAACCACGCCACATGAGCGTTTGTGAAATCTTTCTGTGTGTTGAACTAGTTCCCTCCTTTGCCCACCAAAACAGACACTGCACTTGACAGGAATTAAATTCATTCTGTAAAGAGCATTGGAGACGTTTCAAAATTAACTGTGGAAGCCAATAGATAGTCTACCATTAAAATGGTACAACAGCTGCAGACATTCATGTTAGAGAAGAGAAGATTCCTTAACAAATTCAAGATCATAAAGATAGATAAAATAAACTATATGGAGTAGGCATTTTACAGTCATAGAGCACTACAAAAAAGGAGCATGGACATCAAGCTCAGTAGTAGATAAGCAAACAGACAATTTATATTCAACAACAGAATGCAGACAACCAGGGAGGTAGTGGAAGCAGATTATGTCAGCAAATTCAAGAGAAATTAGATTATCATTTGGCAAAGAAACTGGTGAAGAGTACGATTTTTTCCACATGGACTACAATTGTATTTTGCGTTGCTTTACTTTTCCTGTACTCATATACAGGCTGACTAATGGCGTTAGATCCTGGGGTTCGTTATAAATGTTTAAATGCTGAAATGGCCGAACATTACACATGGTGAGCAATCATTTATTGAAGGAGGAAGAGGAGCGGGAGTTTGGGGTGAGGTGAGGGGAGCGGGTTGTGCGAATAGCCACCCCAGCTCTCTCTCATTCTCTGGTGCTTGTGTGGATTGGTTTGCTGGTTCGTTGCCGATCGCCCCAGTTATTGGCTGCCGAGCACTCATTTGATTGACTGCGAGAACCCCGCCTTGATTTACTACAAGGCCCCCTGTGACTGACTGTTGAATACCCCCACTATTTTGACTTGATTGCAGATTGTTATATCAGGGGCTGTTCTGATTCATTGATCGCTGTACCGGGGTAAGAATCAACAGGAAAAACAGGTGTTTCAATGTCGAGTTCGCTATTACCAGAATGATGGTAATAACTAGGCGTCGTTATACAGTCTGCAACACTATATTTCAAGAAATTGTAAGCAAACCAATGCATTACATTAATTCCTCAGGAAACATCACTCACTTACCATTAAAGATTTATCCATGTAGAACTCTCGCCCCGGGGTTCCATCGTTGTACTTTGTGTCAATGGCGAAACACAGGAAGAGAACATCTACCACCATTTCATATATGGAGAGGAAACAGTGTGCCACAAAGAAACCAAACAGGCAAACGATAATGAGGGGCAGGGCCCACACTGTATAATCTTGTTGGTGATTCAGAAGCAAAATCCCAATAAAGCCTGTGCTGCACACGATGAGAACCTGAAATAACAAACATGAGCCCATTGATAGGTAAGCCTTTAAACAATCACAACAACATTCGCAATAAGTTTCCACACTTACTTTTTTTATACAGAAGACCATTCTTCTTCATCTCCTCCAATAATAATAATAATAATATTACTTGCACCTTCTACGTCAGGAGAATATATCAAAGTGCTTCACAGGAGTTGCTGTGAACTTTAATACATTTTCTAACCATATATTGTGAAGTTAATATTTATAAAGTATTTAATAACAGTTTTGACCCTCTTGCCTTCCCCGCAGCTCGGGAGGAATTTCCTGATAGACTGCAGCAGCGCCGGCATGATTTCCACTCTCTCAATGAGCCGCAGTCTGTCAGAAAGACCCTCCCGAGCTGAGGGGAAGGCAAGCCTTCTCCTAACCAACCAGGTCCTCCAAACCCCTAGCTCCTGCCACCCTACGAGCAGCTACCGCTGCAGGTAGTGAGCTGTGAGGCTGACTGAGAGACAGAGAAGAAGAGAGTAGGGGGAGAGAGAGTGATTGAGAGAGAGAGTGAGTGAGAGAGGGAAAGTGATAGTGTGTGTGTGTGTGTGAGAGAGGGTATAAGAGGGAGGGAGGTAGAGTAATTGAGAGTATGGGAGAGAAAAAAGGGAAAGTGAGAGTGATAGAGAGAGAGAGAGAGAGAGAGAAAGAGAGAGCGATAGAGAGAGAGAGAGAAGGCATGAGGGAAAGGGTGAGAGAAAAACAGAGCGCGGGAGGCAGAGAGAGACAGGAGAAGTGAGGGCAGTGTTTTGTGGTTCATGTCAGGTCAGACGAACAGAGTCTCCCTCAGCAGTCGCGGGGGGAGAAGAGGGGGGAAGGGGCATCTGAGTACAGACAGCGAGTGACGAGCCGTGCAGTTTCCCCACAGAAAGCCCCCTCTTTCTCCCCCACCATCTCTGTAACTTGGCCGTATCCCTCGCCCAGTTCCATTCCCAGAGTTCCTTCGACTCGCTCTCTCCGTCCCCTCTTTTAAGGCATGTCAAGACCTAACTCTTTGTACTTTCGGTCATCTTTTCCCCTCCCACCCCATCTCCATCAACTCCCAACCCCAGTTCAGATTTCCAGCCAGCCATGTTTGAGGGCTTTGAGACATCCTTCCAGCGTGAAAAAGGCGCTGTTCAAAAGTTATGTTTAGCTTCTGGAAGGGAAACACAAAACGTCGCTTATGTGGCCGCAGACATTTCTCAAATGGAGATTCCGGCTCTCAGCAGCCAAAAGGTTGGACCACCATGATAGATAATAAATAAATAATAATAATATAATGCAAAATAATCTACAATCTTTGTTCAAATACTGAATGTACCCACGTGTCAAGATAAGGATTTCAGAATTTCGCTATCGTGTGAAGCAGCTTTGTTCCTAGCAGTATAAATTGGAGCATTAGCTTGATATGTAAAGGCCCCTCAAATATCAAGTGAGAGGAAATATCAAGTGAGGTTATGGGGGGAAGAAGAAAGAGATTGGAAATTAAATTAAATAGATGGTTTCAGCAACAAGATCAATAACACAAGTTAGGTCAGGTTACAAAACAAGTTGGAGTGTATCTGCAAATGCTTTCCATTAATAACACGTGATTAAACACATTATTATACACATATTATAATTAATTTCTATTAATAATACATCCAGGAAAATGTAGAGATCAGACCTTTCCCAAGAACAGTACAAAGTCACCGACTGTGTTGATGGCAGCCACCCTCAAAGCGTTTTCCACGAGGATGACAAAGGCCTCCCTGGCTGAGGTACAGAAGCTGGTACTATTGATGGCTGTTGCAGTGTATGCATTCTGTCAGAACAGAAAACAATTGTTTAAGCATTACAAAGGATTTAAACCTTGAAATTTAATCCCTGTTTACCCTTATCAGAACTCTTCAGTATGAAAACCTGTCCCCTCTCTCAAGTACTATCATTTCAAAAATGTAATAATCAGCAGCAATTTAATAAGTATCAGGTAAATAGAGCTTAATATTCTAGTCAGCAGATGGCTGACTTTAATCCCTTGAGTGCTTATGAAAGCAAACCAGCAGCCAAAATTTTATGGATTGTAAAGCAGATGTATTTTGGATATGTTTTGAATATTTTTATATCAAAAACCTTTCTAGTGTGGCATAAACGTGACATAGGCCACTTCATAATAATAACTGCTGCATTTGATATAGCGCCTTATCACATCGCTTCACCAAATATACTGTAAAATTAATGGATTGTATAAATAGTGGGCAAAACACAGCAGCCAATTGCACTCAGCAGTGTGCCACTAACAGTCATGGATTGAATGACCAAATTAGTTATTTTTATTTGAAGGGAAAGTGATCCGTCAATCAAGTAACAATAGAGTTCCTACTGACTGCCAGGTAAACATTGGTTAAAATTCACGTATATTAAAACTCAAATTATTTTGTGAGAGAAAGCTCCCTCATTTCCATCAGATTGAGGATACAATTTCAACAAGTTATTTTCTGAATTGTTCTGCAAGAACATGGGCACAATTTGCATCGTACTGGTCGGGCTGCCTGCCACGTGAGGACCTTTCCGTTGCTGAACTGTGTGAAAGATGTGCAGCCACATAGCATTCAATAGCTGCTTTTTAACATGGTAATCCTATTAAAAATGAGGTCCTAATGCTTTCTCACAAGAAATATACATATACTCCAGTTGAAATGATAACACCTATAAACTCTCAAACATGTGTAACAAACAGTAAGTAGAACTGGATTCCAAAAATTTGTTTGCCAATTTTCTCCTTACTGAATGAGTTTGACCTTTTTTATTCCTATGCAAGACTACAGTTCCAGTCAATGGTTCCTGATCATCCTTCAATACCTCACCAAGTGACTCATATACAAATGAGTCTTAACAGCAAGCTTTGGTAAGCTATTAAGCTATTCAACAGGAACTGAAAGGCATCATAACCTAACCCATGCTCCCCTTATCTTGTGTCTACCTCTTTCCAAAAAGAGGCCTCCAGACAGAAACCCGGAGTGGAAATTTTGGCAATTTTCTCTACCCTACCTCAGAGCACTCCGAGACGTTCTCCTAAAGGGTAAGTTGTTGTGTCAGGGGTACTGAAGCCAATGATACTGGACAGGGAGAGACTGGGGGTTACATACTCTAACTGGGATCCTGTAGGTTAGAGCGCTTGCCTCGCAAGTGAGAAGACCTGGGTTCGATCCCAGGCAGGGCAAAACTTTGGGCAAGTTTGCTCACTCCACACTCCTCGGTTCACTAAGCAGCAAGTTGGAACCCAGTTGTTAGTCGATTGGTGGATCGCTCTCTGGGGATAATAATTCCTTCAAATAAATGTGGACACTCAACCCACAACTGTTTGTGTGACGCTGCTGTGCTTAATTGGCTGCCGCGTTTCGCCCACAAAATATACTCAATTTACTTCACAGTATATTCTGTGAAGCGCTTTGAGATGTCTCGAATATGTGATAAAGCGCTATGTCAGATGCAAGGATTATTATTATTAATTCAATTTAGATCAACTAATTCAGCATAGATTCGCTGTTAGGATTTGAGTTTTCTTCTGTAAGGCAAAATGCTGCACCTGGCCATCAGGAGAACAAATCAAATAAATAATAATAATCCTTGCATTTGATATAGCACTTTTCAGTTTTCTAGACACCTCAAAGCGCTTCACAGCATAAACTGTAAAGTGAATTGACTGTATATTTACGGGCGAATATTCTTTCAGAACAGATAATGGAAAAACAAGGAAATTATATTTGTATCAGAATTTTGGGGGCAATAAGAATAGCCTGTGTGAGCAAAGTAAAAAATAAAAATTAAACCCGACCTGATTCAGAAAATTGAGGCACTTCTCCAAACACCAGAGACAGCAGATGCAAGACTTCAGCATGCACCTGGCACATGCATTCTCCTGCAGGAGAGAATAAAAACATCTGCAAAGTTAAAGTGGGTCTTCAACCTCAAGAACTGTCAGTTAAACTTAAAAGGCAAATGTCAACATGAAATTCTTGCTGGTCTTTTTTCATACCTTGCCTTTCAGCTTGCTGTGAATATACATTAGGATCAGTCGTGGGATCTTTACCAGTGTGATGATGAAGGAACCTTTGGCCACAGTTCCCATATGGTACCGAATTATACGGAATATTGAAGTAACTATGGGGGTCGCTGGCAAGTTTTTCTTATCCCTATAGAAAAGGGGGAGAATGGAGAGGAGGTAAAAAAATCATGTTTGATATTACAGGAAAACCTTCATCCATAAATGCCCTAAATAGCCTTAAAAATTCCCTTATTGTTTTGCCCACAAAATAGAGTCAATTAATTTTACAGTATATTCTGTGAAGAGCTTTGAGATGTCTCAAAGAGGTGATAAGGCACTATATCAAATGCAAGGATTGTTATTATTCTTGATTACTACTATATTTTCAACTGTGACTGTGTGAAGAATGGAGTACAAAATGAGGGCTTGGGGAAAGAAAGTAGCTTCATGATGATAAGGAAAAATGGGGAGAGCCAAAGGGACAAATACATGAAAATAGTAATTGGCATGGGCTGAATAGTGAAAACAAGTTACAAAAGGGAAGCAGACAAGATTTAACCATCAATTTAATATTTTTTTGTGAAATTTCTGATTCAGCTTTGAAAGGCGAGGGTCAGGTCCCAGGGGTTTCAGGAGTAATAGCTGGAAGTTAAGACCAAGACCAACTCCCAGCGATTGCTTCAGGTTAAGTCTGAGACCAGCCCACCTAGATGCTTGGTCACAATTGTATCAGGCACAAGTTTGTCCTCAGCCAACATTGCATCAGAGATCCTAACTGGAGATTTACAGCAGGGCAATGGAGAAGCAGCGAGGAGCCGACATATATATTATAGACCCCTTGAGAAAGTCAAGATGATGGGTCTCTTGCCAGCAAGTATGCAAGCTTAAAAAAAAAATCGATTATACAAAACCATGAAACAAATAGGATTTAATTTTCCTAGAAAATAATAATTAAATCATTCACATGGAGACAAAATAATTTAACATCCTTATGTATGACTTTAATCTCCTTAATATGTTCCCCAGAGGGTGGTCCGATTCCCAATTGAGGTACAGAAAGCTGTTTGTGGACACCTTCAACAACTGGTTCCTAACACAGCATGTTCAGCACTATCGCAGCACATTAGTACTAGTGCGGAGGAGGGGTGGGGGAAGTGGCATGGGCAGGACAAAAATGCACGAAGGAAAATCTAACAAGTTGGAACATTTCAAAAGTTGGCATTATGATATAAATAAAACCCACAAATGAAAATGAGTGGTTTACACACGAGAGGCCTTGTGCTACTCCGAACTGTATTGACTGTTGCCTGATGATGATTAAGCGGCAAACATTAAACGGCAACATTAGAAATTAACAATTAAAGGTGTGCGCCTAATACTCTCCAGAATTATGTAAGCAGGATACATCTCTCTGAGCTGAGTGTGTGCATTTCATTCCAAACATGGGAATTTCCACACGTAGATGAGATATGTGGAACTTTGTTGGCTTACTCTTAAGCATGGTGATGGGTTTCCACATATATTGGACATTCAACTCACACAAAAAAATTGTAGTCTTGACTTCAGAACTAAAAGGCCTGCAGTAAATTATGTTGGGGCTAGATTTGAAGTTGTAATGCAGAAGAAGAAACAGTGAATGGATCATGTCACTGTATCATGGGGCACTAAATTTAACTGTACTTTATTTGCAAGTTTAAAAAAAATGCCTACTTTACAAAACCATGAAACAAAAGGATTTAATTTTCCCAGAAAATAATAATTAAACATACAGACGTGCTTGTCAGAAATAAATATTCAACCAAAACATAAAGCACAATCTGAAACTGAAATTCTTAGCTTTGTTTGAATCAAATGCCACAACCATACCACAAGATGGCGACATGAACAATGCAAGACGATATACTCATCGCATCATTATTATTATTATTATTATTATATGTTAACATTTCCCTCCAGATTCTGCAATGTGTAATCCCAATAATTGTATGCGGAATTTGCCGACTTCAATTCACTCCAAAGCAAAGACTCTTTAATGACCAGTTAGTTTTGCCCATGTTGCCACTGGCAATAAATGCGCAGAAATATTGCCCTTGCAGTCTGAGTTATATTGTCCTCTTGGGGGAAAGTGAAATCATATTGTGCACTTGTACAATATTGCTCTTAATCACAGCACTGAAATGAATTTCCGTTCTAAAAGGGTTTGGCATTGGTGGAAATTGATTTTTCCGCATGATTTTTGACAGTTTGGATTATCTCCACCTCTAGAAATTTAAATTCAAAGTGGAATCACATCATTACATGGGTGTTTTTGATTTATGCTACTGATATCAGTTACCACAATAAAAAAAATGAAATCAGATATTTGAGGCACTGTCTTTGTATGACATGACCATTGGAAGGCTGACTATTAATTCTTGTGGGACCGTACAATAAAACCTTAAGCTGCAAGATTCAGTGTTGGCGCCAGTGTTTCAGGAGCAAAGAGGTACCTAAAATTCTCAGTTGCACTGGAAAACAAAAAAATGCAACCCAGAACAGCAGCTCAGATCAAAGCAGGCAGTCCATAGATCGAGACAATTTTAACAAAATGCACAAAAAGAACATTTATAACCCATTCCCACTTGGAACCCATTTTGCAAAAGCAATGACTGTTAGGGAGAAAGAAGCAAGCTGTTAAAATTGAAAAAGGAATTATCTTCTACTGTTGAGAAAATTGTAACCACTAAATAGTAATAATAATAATAATCCTTGCATTTGATATAGCGCTTTTCACATCTTCTCGACGTCTCAAAGCGCTTCACAGAATATACTGTAAAGTGAATTGACTGTATATTTGTGGGCGAAACACGACAGCCAATTGCACACAGCAATATCCCACAAACAGTCATGGATTGCAAATGACCAATTTATTATTGTTTTTTTTTGGTGGGATTATTAATAGGCGTGTGCAGTAAGGAAATTTGCCCAAGGTTTCGCCCTGCCTGTAATTGTAACCCTCATTGAGAGTCGGAAGAGTAGACAAGTCACCAATTCTGTGAACCCAAACTAACAGGCACAACTGTTGTAGCTTGACAAATACTATCCGGTTGCATTCTTTGCGATGTCTAATTCAGATAATAGAAAAATACTTCTTCACATTAGGGACCAATGAAGTACAAGAGAGGAAATGTGACAACAGGTATTTCTCGAAAATGTCTTACCTTGTAAAATAGTAGGTTACCACAGCACTAGCCACTGTCATCTGCTGACAGGCCAGAATGAACTCACTGATCCAGATCAGGCCAACCAGATGATAAATCCACATATATTGAAGGGGACCTGACATTTTAAATTCCACAAGACCTTGCTCATCTAGAACTTGATCTCCTATGAACATAATGTAAAATATGTTTTGGGTCTCATTTAAAAAACATGAAACTATATGAAAAACATGGATCCAAATACATCGATGGGGTGGAGGAGGGGAGTGTGAACCGAAGGAGTGCCTTGCTTTCTCTTGGTGCAACTTTGGACAAGAGAGTTAGTAGTGATCACATACTGGAATTTCTAATCTATACATGCATCTGTAAAGACTCAGAAGAACATGCAGTTGTACACCTCTGCAGCTTGTGTCCTCTCTTGCACCAAGTTCCTCGAGCCGATCACACCCATCCTCGCCCATTTTCACTGGCTTCCCATCCCCCAGAGGATCGAGTTCAAGATCCTTGGTCTCAGTTTAAAGCTCTCCATGGTCTTGACCTTTCCTACCTCTATGACTTGCTAATACCTTACCAACCTGCCCACTCCTTCTGCTTGCAGCCAATGGTCTGCTTCATAAGCCCAGCCCTGCCTGCCTCAAACTTCAGTGGTCAGGCCTTCAGCTTTTTTGCCCCCATTCTCTGGAACTCCTTCCCATAATGCCTTCACTTCACCATCTCCCTTGTCTCCTTCAAGGCCCAACTCAAAACTTTTCTCTTTGACTATGCCTTTGGTCATCCTCCCATCTCCACCCACCTTGCCTTCAATCCTTCTTATTCCAACCCCCAGCTCAGGTGCAAACCCTTGACTGTCCAACTTGAGACATCCTCCCAATGTGAAAGGCGCTATATAAATGCAGTTTGTTGTTTGTGGTCGCCATCACATCATTGAGATGTCCCCAAATTCTTCACAGCATTTTACTGTGAAATATAGCAAATGTATATTTGTAGGCAAAAGATAGTATCTAATTCTAGTGGCTTCGGGGGCCAAACAGGACAGGCTATTATTTCTATAATTGCATGGAATCCTAAGAATAGAAACATATTTCCAACATGGAAGAAGCCCTCTGTACATTTGCAGTACGTGTTCTGAAAGGGAGAGGGAAAGAGAAATGGTAGAACGTAGGTCCATAAAAGGATGCAATTTGATAATATCCTACCTGCAGTACCCAGGAAAAGGAGAATCATGACCCAGTATACCCAGAAAAGTATAAGGGCCAGGAAAGTCCAAAGTGGCTGTAAGACTAGGAATGGAAGATGAATGAAGACTTTCCCTGCCACATGGAACAAGGAGATGGTAAGAGCCACACGTTTCCTCATGATTAGGATAAGGAGCAGTAAAATGACCTAAAAAATAAAACAAAAAGTCACACATTTCCTCATTCAGAATTAAACATTATTAAGTTAATTAAATAAAGGGGTGTCCCCAAGGTCCCTATTAATGCTACTCTATCCCATTTTCCTGGCAAACTGTAAATCACTTGTCAAACCAAATCACATTGCTCTTGCAAATTGCGAGAACTTTAAACGTTATTGGTAATGAATAGGATAGGACAAGCTGAAGAGTCATCCCCTAGCTAGGAATTATGCAACGTTAAGCAGCTAAATAAATAGACAATTGCTCCAAAACAAAAAAGATGCTGAGAGAAGGAAAAATGACTTAGCGAGCAACAAATTCCCATGAGTATTAGTACTCTGCAGCTTAAGGCTATCATACTGATACCTGCAGTTCCATTACAAACATCTTCTCAAAAAGAATTTTGTCAAGGATTCAAACAACTACACAATTGCACATCAGATAAGTTCGTAAATGATTCTCCTGGCTTGCCTGTACATCACTCAGCCATACAAACCGTAAAATCGCAGGTTTAAATCCCAATTTATGGTGAGTTAGGTGACCTCAGTTAGGGTGTTGATAACAGTTTCAACAAATTGCATTTGAAGCTTTTGAAATGACATAAGGAATTACAAAAATGCATGTCCATGCAGAAATATGGCAAAACAAGTCATGGAAAGTAAAACATACATTATCACATAGTTACAGTACAATCAGCAGCACCTTTCTACTACATCTGATCTGTCTGCAATGTAACCTATATTATGTACAAAAAGATTCATTTCCTTCAGCAGTGAGCTAAATAGGTGATATTTTCTGCAATAAACTCCTAGAGTATTGTGCTATAAGTTGAACCTGCTCTTATATCATAACTATCAAATCAGATTCTATTGATGTTGAACAGACTGTCCAACTTATTAATAATAATCCTTGCATTTGATATAGCACCTTATCACGTCTTCGAGATGTCTCAAAGCGCTTCACAGAATATACTGTCAAGTGAATTAACTGTATTTTGTATTGGTGAAACGCAGCAGCCAATTGCACACAGCAGTGTCCCACAAACAGTTTGAGTGACCACATTTTTTTAAAGGAATTATTACCCCCGGAAAAGCTATCCGCCAATTGACTAACAACCAGGTTCCTTACTGTTAGGTAAACAGAGGCGTGTGGAGAAAGAAACTTGCCTATCATTTCACCTTGCCCGGGAGTCAAACCCAGGTCTTCTCACTTGTGAGTGTTCTAACCAATACCCTACAGGACTCCACAATAGCATTATTAGTTACAAACCAACACGAAAACACAAAAGTCAATTAACAAATTGCAATAATTGTACATCCCGAGCAATTGTTCTCTACATATTAGATAATAAGTTAAATACCCACTGTGAATATTGTAGCTGCAATGGCGTACACCAGAAAAGCCTGAGCATTATCAAATGCCATTTCAGCTTGATCCTTTGACTGCTCTTCACTTTCAGCCTTCTTCTGATCAACATACAACCACCAAAGAAGAGCTGTGCCACCTGAATGGAAATTAAAAGGAGGTAGCATTGAAGAGATAGAGGTCATGTCCACAATCTCCTTAAAGGTAAGATTCAAGCATTCTAAGACTCAGAATAACAAATGTATTTGAAGAAATGTTGTGCATTGAGACCCTTCCTCCTGTTACGAGAAGATTCACTTTGTTCAGCAGTGAACTGAATAGGTGATATTTTCTGCAATAAACTTCTAGAGTATTCTCCTACAAGCTGAACCTGCTCTTATATCATACCTATCAAATCATATTCTATCAATATTGAACAGACTGCCCAAGTTATTAATAATAATCCCTGCATTTGATATATGCCTTATCACGTCATTGAGACGTCTCAAAGCACTTCACAGAATATACTGTAAAGTGAATTGACTTTATATTTTGTGGGTGAAACACAGCAGCCAGTGTGCACAGCAGTATCCCACAAACAGTAGTGTTTGTGGGACACTGTGTTTGTGTATGTGAAATAGAGCAAGAGAGATACAGAGAGTGTGTTTAAAGAGAATGGGTGGTAACTTGCATTTCTGCAGTGCTTCATATGTGAGATGATATCTCTAAGCACTATGCAAGAACGGTGTAGGCTGCTCAGTAAGGTAGGGGTGGGAGATAAGAATGTAGCAGAAAACAACTGAAAGGATTCAAAGCAGGAAGAGGGGGATTAAGGATTTACGATGGGGGAGGAAGGAAAGGCTCAAATTGCTGATTCACATGCCCTCCCAATGGTGGGACAGAGGACAGGTGGGATTGCAAGAGATTCAGGTGGACACGAGCAATACCGTTGTGTAATAATCCAAGGTTTATTAAGTAATACAAATATCTTATTCATAAAACTGGGACCATAGCTACAGTAGAATCAATATTGATTCCACTGGAAAGTGTGCTGACTCTCTACAACAACTCCAACTATTTCAAAGTTACATCTTTCTTTTATGTGTTTCTAACTACCTCATAGCAATCTTTGAGCAGGCTCTTTTTGCATGAGAAACTAACTGATAAGGAGAGAGAGATATGGACAACTATTTGGGAGGATTCCTGCTTCTTAGTCTTGAGCTGATCAGATGTCCAGGAATGTGCTTCTCTCTCTGAGCACCCTTGTGTTCACATCTGTCCTCATGACATGATTACTCAATTCCTAGATGGGAGTATGACCTCTACCCAGACGCCAAACAAGGGAAAGCTGACTCTCAGACAGGGTCAAGCCAATATATCTTCAACTTTTCTAACGCTAATTGGCACATATACTCTTTCAGGGGCCCTAAGTCAGTCATTTAAAACACACCCTTGTCTATGCCCCAATAAGTAAGGAACGCTATACTAAATAAATTATGTGTTTGGTTGTATTTTAAAAGTATATTAATTAAAAATCTTAAAAACAGTAAGAATCACAAGTATAATCTTACAGGATATGCAGTAGACCCATGTTTATGGAATGAAGGAAGTAGATACTGCTGGAGGGCAGAAGGAGATTGTTCAGTAGAGTGAGTCAAGGAAAGATGAGGAGCTTGACAGTGGAATCTGGTGGAATGGGAGTGATGGGCATAAGGAGCCGAGAGTGCAAAAGGAAATATACTGTAGAGTTGTGAAGAAACTGGACATTTGAGAGAGGGTGAGATACTCAAGTTAGGAAGCCAGAGAGGATAGCGTTTGATAAAGTGGTGATGCCAATGCGGATGAAAGTTTTGGCTACATTGTGGTGAGAGGGACAGAAATGGGCAATTTTCTAGAGGTGAAAAAGCAGTCTAGGTGAAGGACCAAGGCTTGGAATTTAATGCTCAAAAGGGAGCTGAAGGTCATATAAAAATATAAATGCATTTTTTAAACACAAAACTAATCTTTACTACAAAGAACTGCATTTACTTTCATCATAATATTGAGAATTACCCTTTTCTAAATATAATTTATTACTGAACTAAGTAGTAAATATAATGAACTTACCAATGGAGCCAACGATAGTGAGAATTGTAAGGATCCAAACAAGCACTCTGGAGATGTAGCGGATCACCACCATCAATATCATTGACAAAACTGTGAAGAAAATAATTCATAATGCAATCATTTATCAAGTTCAAAAGTAAAAATTCAAACAAAAGATGTGGATGGGTGGGGTAGACATGCTTTTAATTCATGTTATGTGTACTTGCTACACACACGGAAGCAGACAGTTTATTTTGTGAACAACTCAAGACAGAAATGCAGTGAATTAACGCATGCCTGCTTTTCGCCTCTGTGACCCTAAGTTGAATACAGCCTTTTAGGTGTTCCATCTTTTGACTCCAAAAGATCCCACGTAAAGTTTAGCCAATTTCACCCAGTTCCCAGGGGAAGGGGCATAGCATAAATCAGGCCCAAAATGCCACTAACTCTAGATTTTAATCAGAGCTGGCACAGGTTGGGGGGCATTGACAAGGTTGGCATCAATGGTGTACTCGTGGAGTGTATATATATATATATATAAAGCTCTATACTGGAATCCATTATGATACCCATGACCTCGTAGTGTTTTTCCTTACACTGGGCAATGAATGTTGTAAAGTACTCCATTTGCCAGCAGTAACCTTCAGTTTAAAAAGTAAAATACTGATAGCTGCACATCATTTATTCTGTTTAGACATTAGTAACGTCATTATTTTAAACCCTTGTTGGTGGTGATCACAGGTTTTTCCCCAGAATATGCCAGCTACTTTGCTTGAAGAAAAATAAAAATTAGCTCAAACCAGTATATTATACACCACTCTCTCAAAGCATTGCGACTTACAATGCTATCCACAGAGAAAACAATTGCTTTCTTTAATTGACAGTTGAATAATTTACTAATCAGGGACGAGTTCCAGTTGTGGTACCAAGAACTGACTGCAGCTGGATTTGGTGTTTACAGGAATCAATTATTTGTGTTCAGATAATAACAGCAAGACACTGCCAGAAATTTAAATGATCCGAAGAGAGAAAAACTTGGCTTTCAGTTGCACAAACAAAAATAGTGCTTGTGTATCTTCAGCAGAATCGTCAAGAACCAAACATTTTATCCAAATGGGCATGCTCTATTAAAAGTTAGAATTGCCATTCAAAGCATCTGATTGTTGCACTAATTTGCACATTTTCATTTCAAAATCAAGTCACAGAGAACAATGTTAGAGACAGACAGTGTCCTTAAGATGTCCGTAGGCTAAACAAGACATAGAAAAATACCAATAGTGGTCACATTCCAAGAGAATTCTTTATCCACCCACTGGTGCCTTGTCCACTTCACTCGTCAGACAAACACTTCAACTTAGAACTATTTCAGAACAGCAAAAAAAATAGTTTAATGGGGGAATATTTTCATCCACAGTGTGCCTACCCAAGTACTGTCCTTCAAGTGGAAATAGCTTTAATCATCCTAATCTTTCAAGTGGAGATGGCCACATTTCCAAAGCTATGCAAAATCTGTATGTAGTTTCAAATAACTTTCAATTAAATAGCACCTTTCATGTAGGATAATGTCTTTAAGAACTTTGCAAGGTGAGAAGTAGGTGTGTTAGGGGGAGGTGTCAGAAGGCATGGTTTCCAGTCAGTTTTTAATAAAAGTTTTAAAGACATTGAGATAGGGTGCAAGGGGGAGGAGTTTTGAGTGTACCTGAGGTTGTGATGGAGGGTTGGGCTGAGTTTGTCAGTGAGAACAGCATTTGAGCAGTCAAGTCTTGAGATGACAATTGCATTAAAAAATCATCTCTGATTTGCAAATTTGCAAAGCTTGCAAATGCACATTAAAAAGGAATATGGTAAATATTATCACTAAAGATTTTCCTTGACGAACATTTTATAATCCACCCATTCAAAAAAGATGTACATGGTACAAAACAAGACCATTAACTGTAAATAGGAATATCACAGCACATAATTTACCACGGTGCAACTGTAAATCAGGATCAAGAAAATGAGACAAAGCACTTTGGGGAAAAAAAAATCTCAAAAATTAATTGCAACAACATGTAAAAAGTTGAAACAAAAAATACATAAATAACAATGGCCTTTTTACCTTTTGTACTGAAGTGGCAGTATGGTCTTTGAAGGGTCAAAAACATTGTGCACATTGACACTGTTAAAAAGTGCCTGTGATTTACAAAATGTTAAAAAATATTCATGTTGCAAATTAGAATTGCATTTGAGGAAGATGTCAATTAAATGTAATCATAACTCATGGAGTCAAGTTTTTGCACAATTGCTGAAGCAAACCACCCAACCACCAAACAGAAGAGTTTCACCCCTTCACATTTTTTCTTAAAATGCCAAGATGTGAAAATCAGGCCTGAGACAAAGTGAAGCACACCACAAGACAAAATATCATATGTGACAAATGGTACTTGCACAAAATACAATATACAGTTAAAAAGTTATATAATGCCAGGGGCAGTTTAGAAAAAATCTATTTGATTAAAAAATGTATACAAGATTCCTAACATTAAAACAAAACAGCTCTTTAAAAACAGAAGAAATTTGTTGGCATAAAATTGGCATTATATAATGAAACAAAGGGTGTGTGTTACTATGGGATACAATAGTGTGCTAGATATACACAAAGCACTCAACTTCAATTACATTCTCCCATAATAATACACTGTCCTGTTCAATATTGCAAAAGTAAAAAATTGATCTCAGAAACATTACCTAGTGAAATAAAACAAAGTCCTACTATAATTTCTTTGCTGGTCATTACTCCACTAATCACTCTCTGCAAGACACTATTGTCACGGAAGAAGTTGATCAGGGCCGCAGAAAAATTGGCATAGCAGGAAATGTTCACTGGGGCACAACGATGGAAGAATGGCACAGGCTTACTAGTGTAAAACAAAAAGACAGGAAAATGGAATGCAAAATTAATATCAACAAATGAAAGTGATTCATGACAGCGAGGCTTTCTTAAAAAAAATACTGTATACATGTATAAGTGTCAGTGCCAATTAAATGTTAACCTTTGCTACACACAAAACTATACACAAACTCTATAGATTTTTATTCGTAACCATTTCTCATTTCACTTACCCAGGAAGGGAGAAATATTTTCTCATTTCACTTACCCAGGAAGGGAGAAATATTTTACACAATTTAAATTAGTAACAAGTCATTCTGAAATAATAAATGCATACAATGTAATCCATTATATTTTTATAAAGTATCTAATTATTACAATCCTTCATTATCTGTTGGATGTACACATTTATGCATTTTTCTTCTTTCACTCAATTTCAAGCAATATAGTCAGCAGGCAAACCGAGCCATGGATTTCAACATAGTTTCATTTGATACAGCACTAAATCACACTGTAGTAAGGTTGAAATAGCTGAAAATGCCTCACAGATTGAGTTAGGTTTAAGTCTAACACAGCTTGGGAAAGTACAGAAAGATAAGCTAGTGGATGTGATGTCTCTGCACCAGTTGCAAATGTTGGACACAAAGGTTAAATGATCAGAAATGTCAAATGCCAGTCTGGCCACTGAACCAAACGCCAAAATAACTGAAGTAATTATAGGAGCCAAAGAAATCCAATAACTTCTCCCTGACTGTGTGTTGATCTGAAACACAATATAGTTAATGCATCTTTGCAGGGGGCATTCCTCAATATGTGGCCTGCCAATGTTTGATTACCTATCTACCTTGGGAGCAGAGAAGTGTTTTTGTACCAAGCCAGAAGTTGAGGTATATATGTTTGCAGCTAAAGTAGAAGTTAAGCTTCAAAATTCCATGAAAGCAGAATAAAAAAGTTAAGCTTGGCAAATAAAATCCTACAATTATAGTAGTATTAAATCATCCAGATTTACATGTACTGCCATTCAATAAACTTTATGAATCTATGTGGAAGAAAGACTCACTCTTTTTTGTCAATTAATAAGTCAACATATTAAGATTAATTTGTATTGTGAAAAATAAAAAATAAAAGATTGTGTGGGGTTAGATTAATTTGTTGCATTTCATATTTTGCAACAGATTAACCAAGGCGGTCTGACTTAATTTAGCAGCACTACATGAAAATTAGATAATGCTGCATCTCTACTTGAAACTGCTGAAAGATCACATAAGCAACATGAAAATTTTTGTGGGAGTGAAGAGATGTCAAAAGTACAAGTTTTGTATGTAAAGTCCAAAGGACCACTTGCACTTCTGTGGATCATTTCCCCACCAATATGTTCCCACAGCCTAGCAATTGCAAAGATGAAAAGGTTTGACAAGTAGTGCACGCTAGTCAAGTAGCAACTGCAAGGACAGCATTTAGGTAGGCTTTGAATTTAAAATCATCAACTTACTGAAAGCTATAAAGCAACAGGATTTGAGAATAAATCCAAAACACATTGCTATTGTATATGGTCTTGTGGAGACAGCAAAGGAAATCATTTTGGTTTTAATTAAACTTAATAATAATATTATTGACTATTGTGTTAATTCTGCTAAGTGATCAAAAGTAAACTTCAAAATAGACTCGCCAGAATCCTGCACTCTGATTTACAGCAATTGTTTTCCAATTCCTAAACCTAATGTACAGTTGAATTAACAGACTGAATTCATATTATTACAAATACCAACCACTATTTGTATTCAACAGCATTTCTGAAAAGCATACCTAACTGGAACAGGAAGTTTAGGACATTTCGATCTTTTCCATTCCTTTACATACTTGTCTGGACTCACTTCATAAGAGCACAGCAATGATCCTGCAATAAAAAAAATGCGTATACATAACCTACAGAGCATGTAGAATGGAAATCATCAATGATGTCTTATGTGATGATAGCAGTTACACAAAAGAACATTGTAATTGTATTCGTTCACCTGAATAATTCACTTAGTTTGCAATATTACAAATAATAAACTTTTTATTTAAATACATATGTTATCCTATTTTATGAAAAACAAAAAGCTCAACCTCTGCACAAATAAGGAAGAGATAGAAGAAGTGAGGAGCGGGAATGATTTAAGATCATTTTTCCATCAACTTCTTTAGAAGATCATTTTGATCTGATGGCTGTCAAGTTCCTCTCCAACCAGCCATTTTTTCTGAACTATTTCAATGGAAGAAACAGCAATAACACATTTTGCAAGAACAATGCAACAGACAAACATTTGCTGGAAGAGTTAGGTCAGGAGCGGAATAGAATTGTAAGCTGTGTCGGAACCACTTTTAAAAAATGGAATACATATAGAGGGTAACCTGATATAAATCTACTTATTCAATGAAAGTCGTCAAGCATCTGATTGTGAAACTCCAAGGGCTGACATCTTGAAACAATTCAGTGCCAAACACACATGAAGAAAATAATGCATTCTTGAAGTATACAGACTGTTCTAACACCCAGAACAAATGATTACAACAGGCAAGAGCTTGCATTTATATAGCACCCTTTTCCCAAGATAGCATCTCGGGGAACCTACAACACCCATATCATGAAAGGGCACCACTTCAGTCATATTACTGTAGTAAAATGGAGGCATCAGCCAGGCTCTTCCAAACACAGCTATTAATTTACTAGTAAAGTGGCTCATCCCAGGAAGGGGGCAACAGAGATCAGAGCTAAGATTGCATAAATTTATACCTATTGAACCTACTTTTGTTGGTTCCCTGAGATATCAAGCCCAACAGCTTTTAACTTCACCAAAAGTTTTTTAAAAATGTGTTGGCGTACTGATGGGAGTCTTACCAGCTAAAGCCGCATAGCTTTATATATAATTTCATTTAGAACTGAACATAATATAATTTATAACTAAACAGGGTTAAGGTAGGTACAGCCTTATACAAAGCAAAGCGAGAAAAAATATAAAAATAAGATGGCAATGTTTTTGAAGTGGATCATCTGTTAAACATTGCTCTCTAATCCAAACTTCACCCCACCATGATAGCAATTCCCAAATGCACAAGGAGATTGACAGAATTATGAAAACCTAACTATAACAATCTATACCAAGGAAAACAGTCACAGACCCAGTTTCTTCCCACCCAGCACTTGTCAACCTACAAGGAGTAGGGTGGGTTCTCGTTGCTAACCCTTGCTTCATGTTAGCTGGTTATACTCTAGCTATATCCCAATGCACACTCTAAAATCCTCAACATGCGCCTAAAACTTTCAGTGTGCAGGATGTGTCCCTCTGAGCAGAAGCACAAAATGAAAACTTCCATACATAACTAGAACTGCCAGCGGTTTAATTTGGATACTCTTAAGCATAGTGACAGGTTTCAGTGTGTGTCAGGCACCCGGATGACAAAAAAAAAACTTCCAGTCATATTATACAAAGCAGTTGGGAGAATGTAAGCAAGTACCCATCTTGAAGCAAAATACAACAGCACCTTGCATTTTTATGCAACGACAACTTGCATTTATATAGAGCCCTTCATGTGGGGCAGGGTCTCGGAGCGCTTAACAGCCCGATGTCGAGCCAGGCGGAATGAAGAGGTGACCTGTAAGCATGGTTGAAGAGGAAAGTCTTTAACCGTAATCTAAAACAGGGGAAAGAGAGGGCAAGGCAGTGGGATTTGTAGAATCCTTCTCTCAGGCTAGCATCTTGGCTGTGCTTAAAATGTATTCTATTCTTATTTTGAAGAACTTTCTTATTTTCAAGGATTGAAGTAACAAGAACATTTTGTGTACAGCCTAATTTGTGGTAAAAAGAAGCACAGGAAGTTGAAAGTATTATCATATAAGTTTACTCCTTCCCCTTCCATATCCCAGGATAACTCTCCTGGTATGCTTTATGAACTCAATTTTGAAATTCATTGCAACTACACATGGGACTCAGCATGTAATAATAATCCTTGCATTTGATATAGCGCTTTTCGCTTTCCATGAATACTCAGCATGTACTGGAGAAGGGAAGGTCGAGGGGTGATATGATTATGGTCTTTAACATTCTGAAGGGAAATAGATAATGTAGACTATGATAAGCGGTTTTATCTTGTACTGAACAGCAGAACTAAAGGACACAGCCTACGATTGAAGGGGGCTAAATTCAGAACAAGTCTGCAGAAACACTACTTTCAGTGAGTGAGTATGGAACTTATGGAACAGACTCCCTGGGGAGACAGTGGAAGCAGAAAATGTTGTTTGTTTCAAGAACAAATTAGATAGACTTCTGCTAGAAAATAATATTTCAGGATACAGGATATATTTTGGGACACAACATGACAAGCGACTGCTAGGATTGTGGAAGGTGAATTAGATGGATCTTGGCCTTCTTTCGCCCGGCACATTCTTATGTTCTTATACTGAAAGTCTCATCTGAATGATGCAATTCCAACAACTCAAAGATCCCCAAGAACCACATTTATGGGTCAGCCTAGACTATGAGTCAAAGTCCTAACATAGAACTTGAATACACAACCTTCTGACTCAAGAGTTTAGAGTGGCAGACTGAATGACACCTTAAGTATAGTATTTGAGTATTTAACAACTTAAATACACATTGTGTTCATATGTGGTGACCATTTTTTTTAAAAATCCATTCAGTAATAAGGTTTAATAACAAAAATTTTGCAAGACCGTACATCTACCTATACATACAACATCACAACACGTGCACACTCCAGACTTGACAGACTTTGTGATCCAGAATAAATATTAACTTTGCACTTTACCAAGAGTACAACAAAGCACAGCCAAACAGTCATTTACTGAACCATCCATTGTCCAGACATCTTATGAATTGAATAATTTCCAAATGCTGGAAGTATCAATATATAAAGATAAACCCATACAAGTTACATGCATGTTTAATACAAGCTTTCAGATTCAGCAAATTGTACAAACATAAGAGTAAATGTGGAGAAACGGTTTCCTCTGGCGGGTGGGTCCCTAACCAGAGGACACAGACAAGGAGAAATGTTTCTACCCAGAGAGTTGTTACGATTTGGAATGCACTGCCTAAAAGGGTGGTGGAAGCAGATTCGACAGTAGTTTTGAAAAGGGAATTGAATAGGTACTTCAAAAGGAAACGTTCGCAGGGAGCGGGACGAGTTGGATAACTTTTTCAAAGAGCTAGCAGGATGGGTCGAACGATCTTATTCTATGCTGCAAGATTCTATGTATGATTTCTATGATCTAAAATACAATACTTGGGAGTTCAAATATTATTTCTTATAACAAAATAGTGATGGTTACAAGGAAGTAATATGACTGTGAGATATGCTGCATTTTACTAAACTACAAAGGATCTTTTAAACATCTCAATTATCATTTCGGAATTAAACTGTCCTTCCTTTTGCAACTGATATCCAGAATGAAACCTCATCCTCTCTGCTGAACTGGAAGATTTTGTAAAGCTCTTTGTGAAGAGCAATACAATGAATTTTCAAAAAAACAGGTTATTCTGAAAATAAGCATGCAGTCAGCATAAATATTGTATTGGAAACACTCAAGATAAATATTAATACTAATAGCATTCACACTGAACAGAGACATCAAAGTCCACCTGATGATAACCTTACGATGACTGTCTTAAGATTGTTGATGCAGATTTGCAGGAAGTTCTTAAATTCTGTCTTAATCTGGAAGCCAGTTTTCTGAAGCTCTTAAAAAGACCAGTGGAAAATTGACTTGCAATTTAAGAGTAAATTTAAAAATTGTATAAAATTCTGCAGAATCTTAAATTTTGAGACTGGAAAAATAGTGGACTTTGGCATTTTTATGCTATAGAAAAAGAAAGTTCACTGACAAGTTGCTACTTCAAGTGCTGATAGTATCCGTTAAGATTCTTGATTTATAAAATGTAAAGTAACCTCAGTACTATGACCAAACAAGGGATCTTTAACGTAAAAGCTCATAATTCAAGCAACAACAACAAAATTACATTTGTAAAGCGTTTTTCACGTTGAGAGGACGTCCCAAGGCACTGGAGTTCATGCTCTAATTGTTTCTTGTTATTTTCTGTTGACTCAGCCTTAGGTATGTAGAAATAGGAGTAGGCCATTCAGCCAGTCAAGCGTGTTTCTCTGGTTAGCAGGATATCATTTGCAGGGTTCATAGTATCATATCCAATTGTAAACCATCATCAGTGACAGCAAAATAGCACAATTGTAATCAAAATAAAACTAAAATTAAATTAAATCTTGGATTTTGTTCAATTGATGAAGATTAATTGCTTTTGCAGTTTTATCATGCATAACACTGTGCCGTTGAACAAAATTTTATCAGCAATTTTCAGCAGAACACAAAACATGCTGTTTTACTGATTGCATCACTATATGTTAACGTACTAGTGTCACCCAGTCACCCAACACACTCAAAAAAATACTGACAGCTCAGACACTCATATTTTGAAACAAATCTGTTCAAAAGAAATTCACCATATATACAGAACTGCTGATAATATAGGAAATAAATCATATACAAAACTCTCTTAAAAAATAGCCAGTTCATTGGCAGACACTGAAAAATTTGCAAAGATGAATAGAAAATAGTAATGCAGAAACAAAATTAAAAAAAGAAAAACATAGGGGGTAAATAGAACAGGCAGAAATACTTCTCAAAACTTTATAAGCATACAAGTAAGTGAATTTTTCATTGTGCCTGGAACCAGCGCCTTGGGATGTCCTCCCGATGTAAAAGGCACGATACAAATGTAATTTGTTTTACTGTATTTAATCTCATGAATGCTGACTGCTCTGCTGTGACTCCAGTTTGCTTGAGTGGAAGTTAACATCGAGGCTCGACTATGCAAACTCACCGCTTTTCGGCCTCCCCAATTCTTCCCTCCACCGGCTGCAGATCATCCGGAACTCTGCAGCCCGTGTCCTCTCCCGCACCAGGCTCCGTGACCCTATCACCCCCATCCTTGCCCAACTCCACTGGCCTCCCATCACACAGAGAATGCAGTTCAAGATTCTGGTCCTCACCTTCAAAACCCTCCATTCTTGCTCCCCCCTACTTCTCCGACCTCTTAACCCCCTACCACCCTGTTCGCTCCCTCCGCTCAGCGGACTCTGGACTGCTTCATGTCCCTCGCCTTACTCGCCCCACTATCGACGGGTGGGCCTTCCGCCACTCTGCGCCCACCCTCTGGAACTCCATCCCGCAGTCACTCCGTCTCGCCCCCTCATTCGCCACCTTCAAGATCCACCTCAAGACCCTCCTCTTCGACCGTGCTTTTGATCTCCCCGCTTCCCCCCGTGCCCTCCCCCACCCCGACCCTCATCTCGGGTCCTTAACTCTGTCGGTCCAGCGCCTTGGGACGTCCTCCCAACGTGCAAGGCATTATATCAATGTAATTTTGTTGTTGTGTTGTTGTTTGCATGTTTGCAGATGATGTCACCAAGAGGGAGATTTAGATATTGAAGAGCAGGGGACCAACGACAGAGCCCTGAGGAATGCCGCACGAGACGGCGCAGTGGCTAGAGGAGAAACAGGTTTGTGGAAATAACGTTTGTGGAGATGAAATGGAGACGATGTGAGAGGTAGGATCTGAACTATTCAAGGACAGAACCACAAAGGTTGAGGTGAGAGGGGCATCACCACCAAAACAATCTGCAGCAATATTAGCATAAGTGTTTATGCATAAAAAGTTGAATGAAAATGAACTTTCCTTCGCTATCAATCCTGTAATCTTACCATTTTCCTTTGCAAATTTTTCAACGTCCTTAGGATATTTCATCTCAGTGGCTGGACATGTAGACACACACAGCGCCATGGATTTGATTTTCATCTTGGTCAGATCCAGGTTGCAAGGATCCAAGAAAAAGACAAATCTGTAAGGGAAAAAGTGAGAACAGAAAAATATTGAGTGAAGCTCATGTGGCAAATAGATCTGATTTTTTTTTAAAAAATAAGGATTTGATCGTCTGAAATTGTTTATTGGCAATCGAAGGATGAGATCAAATTGACAAAAGGACCTTCTTCAGTAAAATACCTTGCGATTTTTGTGTACTTTCTTAAAACCTTCTGCTTAAAGTTAAAATTTAATGAAGTTATAAACATGGCATACTTAAATGTATTGTTATATCAGTACCTGACAGGTACTGATGGTCTTATTGCAGTCACGTAGTTTCATGGCAAATGATTCAAATGCAAAATACTCAACCAAATCTAGGCTCCCACGACCAATTTGGATGTCCGAACTGCATAGAGCAATTTGAGACATCTTGCCAATGTGAAAGGTGCCATCAATTTACAATTTATTGTAATAATAATAATCCTTACATTTGATATAGCGCCTAATCACGTTTTTGAGATGTCTCAAAGCGCTTCACAGAATATACTACAAGACTAACTCCAGACCTGTGAGTGAATAAAGTTGGGAGAAGGTCTCAAAGGTAAACTTTTAAAATTCCAAGTTAAAGTATCAGACTTTTGAATTGAACACATTAAAGAAAATAAGACAAATATACCTTATACATTTCTGACCAAGGGACTATCCAAATGCATAGTTATGAAATAAACGAACACTAGTCTTAAAACGTTTTCCATATACAGTGTTGAAATAGGATCATCACTTTTGTAAGTTAACATTTACAAGATTTTTAAAACTATCTAATTATAATGGTCAAAATAACATTATTTGATAGCTTTGATTGCATACTTACTTGTTATTTGTGTGGTCAATCCCACTTAATTCAATACCTTCTACTTTGTGGTTCTTCTGGCCACAAATGTTTCCATAACTGTCATAGCCAAAAATTAGTCTCTGTGCTGCTCCTGTGGCTATTGAAAACCCACAAATACAACCCTAAAAGAGATGATATCAGAGGCTTAGTATCATAACCTAATTTGTGACAAGTCAAAAACACACAAGTTGATTCATGGTAATAATAAAATTCCATCAATTAGCAGAAAAAATATTCGAATGTAGATGTTCCCCTCTATCCCATGTGTTTATCGCGCTCATGGACCAAAGTTCTGAATTTGTTATCAATATACACAGAGCAGCTCATCACCAGATGTTTCAACAGCTACCCCTTTCTAGCAGCTTGGTATTTGTTTCCAAAAACAACCTTTCATATTTACTCTCTTTAATAATAATACTTGCATTTGATATAGCACTTTTCACGTCTTCTGGTTGTCTCATAGAGCTACAGAGAATATACTGTAAAGTGAATTGACTGTATATTTGTGGGCGAAAGGTGGCAGCTAATTGCGCAGAGCGGTGTCCCACAAACAGTCGTGGATTGAAGTTATTAATTTTTTCTTGAGGGATTATTATCAGACATGTGGAGTAAGGAAACTTGCCCAAGGTTTCACCCTGCCGAGAATCGAACCCTGGTCTCTCACTTGCGAAGCGAGTGCTCTAACCACTGAGTTACAGGACACTCCACTTTGGAAATCTAGCTGTTTCAGTCAGCTAGAGGGCAATACTTTTAAATCTTTGACCATAACGTTAAAGTCAAAAAACATAGGGCCCTGATTTCTCAGCTATAAATCCATCTCCTAGGGCATTCAAAGAAAAGTATAATCCTTGTTCTGTGCTGAGTTCGCTGATCTCAGTTCTGTTTGCATTAGCTTGTGTATCAGTGCCTGAAATTGAGAGGAAAAGAGGTGGGGGAAAAGTTAGGAAAGGGCAATTTGAGAACAACTTCCCAACTCAAATCATTCAATGATTTGTTCAAACTCGCTGTCCAGGCGCACACTGAGAATTGGTCTACCAACACTCACTGGTGGAAATATATACAACATAAGACAGGAGGAGAACACAGAAGAGATTAAAGCAAACTATTTAGTAGTCTGAAAATACAGCACATTTGTCACTTTATGCACAGGATACCGAGATCTGAAAACTCACATAATGACAAACAAACAGACTCAAAAAAAGACTGAAGCAAACACCCAGAACACAGACTTGCATGAAAAATTACCAAAACATCTTGATCAACAAAAACTGGGAAGGGGTATTAAACCAGGAACCACAAATACATGAATATATAAAACAGAACCATGAATCAAATGGTTAGTTCCTGAAAGTATTGAAGTGAGGAAGGTCAGCAAGCAGTTATTCTTTTTCTGGAATAATTTGGAGACCATGCACCTGGACTGAAGAATGGCACCTGGACTGAAGAGACTTAGTTAGAACAGAATGGGCAAAAGTGGGGCTGCACTCTCTTGAACAGAGGAGATGAGGGTGATCTAATCTAGGTGTAAAGGGAAATAGCAGAGTGGATAAGGAGAGATTCCTTCCTATGATTGCAGAATCTAGATCAAGACGACAAATCTAAAATTGAGAGCCAAATCCGTTAATAGAGGAATCAGGAAATGTTTCTTTACTTGGAGAGTTGTGTGATTGTGCACTTCAATTCCTGGAAGGATTGTTAAAGCAGCGATGATAAAGGAAAGTAGATAAATATTTGGCTACTATGTAGATTTATCTACTTGATATATGAGTATGATAAAGGCAAGTGGTATTGGGTTACAGATCAATCATGATCTAAGAAATTGGTGGAGCAGGCTCAATAGGCCAAATGACCTACTCCTGTTCCTATGAAATAAATCAAAAGACACTATTTTGGAGGCTGTTTGGGGGAAATGTTATCCAAGGTTGGACCAAATCTTGAACCTAGCATTGAGATTATATATAGTACATATGCTGAACGCTTTCAATCATACAAGCATTTGTCCAATAGTCGAGGTGAAAGTGCTGGCATCACATTCCTCAACCAAAAGATTTTAATCATCGGAATTCTACCTCTGTTGAGCCATCAGCTTTTGCCAACATGATATCCAATAGAAAGGGAAAACATTTATTTTCTATTCCAACAACAGGTTTGTCAGAAGTAATTCACTTCTTCAGGAACAAAGTGTGGAACTGGATGTTATAAATGTGCCAAAATAACTAAAGAAAATAATAATAATTCTTACATTTGATATAGACCTTATCAAGTCATTGACTCGTGTCAACGTGCTTCACAGAATATATTGTAAAGTGGATTCACTGTGTATTTAGTGGGAGAAACGGTGCGGGGGAAGGAAAGAGTAATGGTTTAAAAAAGTTATAAGGATTAAAAGAAATGTTATAGCTGCAAAACAGCAGATGAAGTACGCATCAAAATATCTGTCTATTTTCTAGAAAAGTCAATCATAACTTACCATTCCAATACAGAACAGGATAAATATCAGTAACCATGGTATGTCTGTGCAGCTGCGTTGCTCTAATGGCTTCCATGCTCTAGTGGAGCTCTGCAACACAGAGAAGAATTGAAAAAAATACTAAATGCCACTGTTGTCATCATATGCCATAAAATAAATCAGCTTCTTGAATTCAACAATGCCGCAATTATTCAAAATTATTCAATCAGTCAGTTATTCCAAAATAGTTTGTATAAGTTCACCAGTACCCTCACTACAAAGACTCTCAGTTGTAGAACTCCCATCAAAGTCTCAACTCCAATTTCTAATTTTAAATCTCAATTTCCCTTTTTAGGTCTCCATCACCACAGAATGCACAAAGTAACTTTTCAAGGCCTAAATATTATATGCATGACAGTCACTATAATTGGGATTCATAAGGAATGCCCCAATACTCGATTCCTCAGAACCTTTATGAGGAGAATGTGTGAGTTTTTAACCCCAAAGTCTAACCTTTCAGACCCACTGCTAAACTTTATTTGAAATCTCTTAAATCATTCAATACAAGCAAATAAAGTTCATTAACATAGAACGGGCAGTATACTAAGTGTTGAATTAAACACATTCGGAAAGAGAGAGGGAATTTCAACATGATTCCATACATTAATCAATATGGCCCTATTTTTCTCTTACAGTCTAACCAGATTCCATTTCTTTAACATACTGAAGTTAACAAGGTTGGCCATACTCATGGATATCTGAGAGGACCCCTGCATTTCGCTCTTTCTTCCTTCCCCCCACCACCAAGAATACTGTCTACTTTTTGCAAATGCAAACATTTGAATAATGTTTTTGGTGCTCAACACATGTTCAACTCAGTATCACAGATCACTGGATGTAAAACCAGTTTTCTCTTATGTGCTCCATCTCTATAAGGAAGGGGAAATATAAGTTTCCACCACTGATTCATGTGGTTCATCATAGTTTCCATCACTGATTCATCATAGTTAACCATAGTTATGCTCCTCTTTAAGCTGACAAAAGATGCATGTTAAAACAGTATATGTAAATCTGAAAGTTTATCAAATTGCAGTTGCATATCAAATACAAATTTTCTATTGTGCCCTTCTGAAAATCAACACCTGCTAAATCTATACACATTTTATCACGTCTTTGAGGTGTCTCAAAGCCCTTCACAGATTATACTGCAGTGAATTGACCGTATTTTGTGGGCAAAATGTGGCAGCCAATTGCGCACAGCAGTGTCCAACAGATAGTCGTGGATTGAGTGACCAAATTATTATTATCATTTTGTTTAAGGGATTATCCCCGGAATAGCAATCCGCCAATCGACTAACAACCAGGTTCCTACTTACTGCTAGGTAAATAGAGGGGTGTGGAGTAAGGAAACTTGTTTGTTTCACTCCGCCCAGGAATTGTACCCAGGTCCTCTTGCTTGCGAGGCAAGCGTGCTAACCACTACGCTACAGGACTCAGTGCTGTAGAATGCCAGACCTGGCCATCTTTCAGTTTTGTTTTTGAGCAGTTTGCATCTCCCTCACAGGAGGAGAAACACCCGCCTTTCCCACAAATTGCTGTGGTAAAGAGTGAAAGATTCCAGGACAGGCAGGAGCTTGTATCTTAAGATAGAAGTAGGTACTGTATTTAATGTTTTATTTTGGAGTCTACTATTTCTGTAATAATCCTAATGATGGCAAAACAAATGGTCGGATCCAGTCATTTCCTTGTTCCCATTTGGAAAAAAATACTGTCTGCAAATTCACAGTATCTAGAAGACTAAAATACAAAGGATTAACAATAGACTGTGGACTTTAGGGATGGGTGACCTGCAGAAGTGGAAGGAATTGGAGCAGGAGCTACTGCGTTTTCCAGGGCTATCAGGAACCTACAACAACAACAACTTGGATTCATATAGCGCCATCCACGCCGGACGGCATCTCAGATCGCTTCACAGTAACAGATCCTGGGACTGAGCCAGGGCGAGGGGGAGGAAGGTGACCAAAGGCGCGGTCAGAAAGAAAGGTCTTCAGCAGAGACCTGAAAGTAGGAAGAGAGGGAGCGAGATAAAGGGAGTGAGGAAGGGAATTCCAGAGCATCGGGGCATAGTGGCTGAAAGCATGGCTGCTGAGGGTGGAGCAGAGGACTTGGGGGACAAGGAGGAGGCCAGACCTGGCAACGGGCAGTGTTTTGAGGAGAGAGGTCAGAGAGGTAGGGGGGGTGCAGAGGAGTGGAGGGATTTGAAGACAAGAGTGAGGATCTTGAAGTTGATCCTCTCTGGGACAGGCAGCCAGTGCAGTCTGGCAAGGACTGGGGTAATCATTGACGAGAGTGGAGTTTGGTGCGGGTAAGAATGCGGGCGACAGAGTTTTGTATGATTTTATGAATGGTAGTGGGTGGGAGACTGGCAAGGAGGGCGTTAGAGTAGACCAGCCGAGAGGTGACAAAGGCATGGACCAGGGTTTCAGCGGCTTTTGGAGTGAGGTATTGGCAGAGCCGGGCGATGCATTGGAGGTGGAAGAAAGCAGTGCTGGTGAGGGACCGGATGTGGGGAGGAAGGATGGGGGTCGAACCTGATGCCTAGGTTGCGTACGGGTTCGGAGAGTTTTAGGGGGATGTCGGGTAGGTGTAGGTGTAGATCAGAAAGAGGAGGGGACCAAGGATGGATCCTTGTGGTGCCCCACAGGTAACCGAGTGAGAGTGGGAGGAGAAGCTGTTTGTGCAGATGTACTGCTGGCAGTTTGTGAGGTGGGACTCGAACCAGGCGCGTGCGGTTCCACTGAGGTGGATGACGGAGGAAAAGCAGTGGAGGAGGATGGCGTGATCGACTGTGTCGAACGCGGCGGAGAGGTCCAGGAGGACAAGGAGGCAGAGGGAGCCCTGGTCACAGATAGAGAGGATGTCGTTTGTGACTTTCACAAGCGCAGTCTCTGTACTGTGGGCAGGGCGGAAACCGGACTGGAGGGGTTCGAAGAGGGAGTGGGAGGAGAGGTATGCGTGAAGTTGAACGGCAACAACCTGTTCTAGGACTTTTACGAGGAAGGGCAGGTTAGAAATAGAGCGGTAATGGCTGGGGTTTGAGGAAACTTGGGAAGGTTTTTTTGAGGAGGGGGTGATGACAGCAGTTTTGAGGGAGGCAGGGACTGATCCGGAGGAGAGGGACTGGTTGATGACATCAGCCATAAGTGGTAAGAGGAGGGATAGCTGAGTGACCAGCAAGTTGGTGGGTAGGGGGCCGAGGCAGCAGGTGGTGGGTTTCATTGAGGTGATGGTGGGTGAGAAGGAGGAGGGAGAGAGTGTGCCTACCAAAGATTGTGGCCTACTCCTGGAGCTAATAACAATGTGTTTCCTTCCAAGGGGCAGAGCATCATGTGGACGTGAACACGTTCTGCTAATGACAGAGCATATTCGCAAAGTACACCGTCGCAGTGGCAATGTCACTACTACAACAAAGGCTCTGTGGTGGAATTTTATGCAACACAACAGATGATTGCACTTGGACCAGTCGAGTATGAAATGATCCCCTAGTTGTACAGGTTGTATGGGGCCAACAACTATCACATTACTCCATGGCATCCAAGTGGGAACGAACAGTGGAAACAGTTCCGTTGCATGCTGTTGGATATGCTCAGACTCCAGAGGGAAGACTGTGTGTCCGGGAAGCTTAGAGATGACTTCTGAGTATTCAAACCAGTGTTCTTCCTCATACATCTGTGCTGTAAGCAAGAAAAGTGCTGCAAATTTATTAATGGTTCACTGTTTAGTTGTAACTGGATTTCTGCTGCTTTACTTCACACTAACTGAATTGAAAAACAAAATAATCTATTAGGCGCTCTTATACTCTTACCCAGCTGACGGAAAGGAAAAAGGTTCTTGTGAGTGGGTTTGTGGTTACAGGACAGCCCTCCACCAACTTGCTTTAATTATCATTCTTCATATATTGCACATCAAATTCCAGCCAATTCTAATCTCATCTGATATCAAGCGCATTTTCAATAGGAACAGGAATTATGAGTTAATTATCAAAAGTAGGTGGAAACCTTAACTGAGATTTACTTCCCCCCTAATTTGCAAACATCCCCTTATGACCAATTCTAGCTCCTGTACTGCTTCCTCCTCTAAATTCGGCTAATAGTTTGGGGAATTTCTGGTCTGTATCCAGATATGACATCTGGCTCTCATTTACTTGGCTTTCCTCACCTTCGCAACATTGCCCATCTCTGCTTCTAATGTTTGATCAGGACAGCTCGAGCACTCAGGAGATTGAAGTAAAAAGGCATTCCACTTTGTAATAAATCCAAGGACACTAGACCCTAAAACCCTGAAAAGAGAAATATTACCCAAAGGCTACAGTAAATGAGTATACTTCACACAGAAACAGAGGCCAGAAAGAGATATTCAGTACAAAAGTGTTTACTTAACTATTAGTTGGCAATCATCTCACATGCACAATTCTCAGCAATGCAGTAATTGTGTTGGACACTGTACCTACAAGTTACAAGTGATTTCAGATAGACAGCAAAAGCAGCTTTTGTTCAACAATGTTCGCTAAAATTGTAACAAAGTAAACAACTAAGTAAATATTGCAATATCAGATAACTGATACCACTTCCACTATTTTAGATCACGACCGACGACTTTCATCATCAACCATGCTTATGGTCACCTCCTCCCTTCCCACAGTGTTAGGCTCTGCCACTGCTCCAAGATGCTGCCCATGTGAAGGGTGCTATATAAATGCAAGTTGTTGTTGATGGGTCTTGGGAGTGCCAGGTTTTACAAAACTATACAGTACAGTAAGTTACAAAGGACTTGGACAGATTAAGTGAGTGGGCAAAGCTGTGGCAGATGGAGCTCAATGTAGGGAAGTGTGAGGTCTTCCACTATGGACCGAAAAAAGATAAAGCAGAATATTTTCTTAATGGGGAGAAATTAAGAACTGTGGAGGAGCAAAGGGATCTGGGTGACTATATCCACAAATCACTAAAAACTAGTTCCCGGGTGCAAAAGGTAATCAAAAAGGTGAATTAAATGTTGGCTTTTATCTTAAGAGGTCTGGAATACAAAGGGGAAGTATTGATGCTTCAGCTGTATAGAGCATTAGTCAGACCCCATCTGGAGACTGTGTTCAGTTTTGGGCACCACACCTCAGGAAAGATATATTGGCCCTGGAGGGGTACAGCGCAGGTTCACCAGAATGTTACCAGACCTTAAAGGGTTAAGTTACGAGGAAAGGCTGCGCAAACTTGGATTGTATTCCTGTGAGCTTAGAAGGTTGAGGGGTGATTTGATTGAGGTATTTAAGATAATGAAGGGATTTGATAGGGTCTATACAGAGAAGCTATTTCCTCTGGTGGGGGAATCCAAAACATGGCGCAGTCTTAAAATTAGAACCAGATCATTTAAGAGTGAAATCAGGAAGCATTTTTTCATTCAAAGGGTGGGAGAAATCTGTAGTTCTTTGCCCCAAAAGGCCGTGAATCCATAAACACCTTCAAGAATGAGGTTGATAGATTTTTGGAAGATTTTTGGTGATATGAAGGGATATGGGGAGAAAGCAGGAAATAGGAATTGAAAGGATTAGTTCAGGTACAGATCAGCCATGATTTAACTAAATGTCAGAACTTGCTCGAAGGACTGAATGGCCTCCTCCTGTTCCTATGTTTAACAAAATGTAGCACCTATGCTGTGTTTTCCACTTTGAAGTTTCATTCTACACATGACACTAATATTGCAAAGCTATGTGAACCATTTTAAATCAAAACGTGGAAATAAAACTCATGGTTTCCTTAACACCAACACCACATATTACAGCAGTACTGTATCGTGTTCCTCAAGTAACGTTGGCTACTGCTACAAACCCATACATATAGCATTTCTCAACAAATACAGCAAAGGCAACAGAAAACCAAAATAGACATCTCCTGAATCCTTCGAAAAAAAATAATAAATCTAATTATCACATTCACACAATCATGCATTCTGAGCTGTGTTATCACTCGACATTTTTTTCCAGAATCTAAACTATTCTCCACGTAAAAATTAATTGTATCCAGCAATATCTACTAAAAATGCAACATTCCCACTCTCAGGGCAGACAAATCCAAACAGTAAGCTTTTGATTTCAAGTATAATAAAAGGATAACATTGTTTCACAATGCAAAGCAGCAACACACCATAATTTCTACAAGAATTCTGCAGTAAGTTTTAATGCTGTGCAGCTGCTTATTGGGCTGTGATGTAATTTTTTCATTGCTCATTTTCATTAATCGAAAACTAATAATTTTTGTTCATCTGAAAAACTGCTGCAGGATTCTGCAACCACAGAAAAGCTCAGCAATGCAAAAGTACTCCCAGCTAACTTCCTCACCCATCAAACTAATGCACAGTTATTTGAAATTAAAAAAATTATGAATTATGAATGAAAGTGGATTGCAGATGAACACGTTTAACTCCAATTCTAGTTTCATGGTTCAAAATTAATAACCATGCAACTGCTGGTTTAAATCCTCCAGATTAAAGTTCCAGATTTTTTGAATTCTCCTAATCATAGTGATACATTTCCAAATGTGTCAAGACAACCAGCTGATCCAAAACAAAACAAATCCACACAATGAATAAACCATGCAACTGCGATTAGTATACAAAAGAGAGATGGTGGAAATGCATAGTGGGTCAATCACCTACTGCAAGAGAAAGACAGCTTGAAGTTTGGAGTGGGACCCAGTTTTTAAATTTTAAAATGTTCAGCATAACTACTGTTCTTTTCAACCCACAAATTTGTTTCTGCACTTGCAGCTGGCAAGCGTTTGAACTTTCCAACAGGCGGTGGTGAGAACAGAAGGAGCTTTTCTTCGAATAATGAGAATGTGCAACATTTGTATCTTTACTTGGCATTATGATACACAAGCTCTTTGATTAAATTATTACTGAGACTTTTCCCCTCTGAGTTTTCAGGGCAGTCTTCTTGCATTGATTAATATCCTTTTGCCCACAGGCATCACATTCCCACAGATGCGAATTAGCCAATTTCACTGCGTGAACCGCAAGTGAAGGAATTTTCACCCAAACCACTTCGGACGTGTTAATCCAAAGCATAATAATGGAAATTATTTCTAACTCAAAACAGTTTTTAAAAAAAAGTCGCCCTCCCTCTGCTTACACGCTCCAACAAAAAAATAAACAGCTCTCAATGTACAGGTCACAGAGAAAAAAAACTTACTACCCAAGCAATACTTTCCTGGGCTCCTGGTTGTCTATCTGTCTGTCTGTTTGTCCTATCTCTGGAACAGTGAGTAAGGAGCTTACAACAGAATCTTATGACTAAAGTTTTATTGTAATCAGATTATAAATCTCACCTCTCTATAAATAAAAGTTCAGGCAAGATTGTAACCAGATAACAATTCCCAAGCCTTCCTGCCTCTGTCTGAACTCCTTTTCTTATCAACCGCCCACTTCAATACCTCAGCTTCACTTCTCATTCCTCTCTCATGCACACATAAACACATGCACAAACACTTTTATTTATTTTTCCTACTTACACACTATTTTGCTCAGATACATATACACTATTTTCTCACACCTGCACACGCGGTTTGTTTTTCTCTCTCTCACACTCACATAGTTTTTTTAAATCTTTCTTACACATGGTTTATTTCTCACTCTCTCTCTGGTTATGCACTTCCTCTCTCTCACACCCAGTTTATTTCCCATAATTCTCTCTAATATATATCATACAGACTACAGACGCTCCATTGTACATTACAGTATAGTCTCTCTATTGTATTGTGTATGTTACAGTTTGCAGACTCTCTATTGTATATTATACAGTATGCAGACTCTATTGTATATTATACAGTATGCAGACTCTATTGTATATTATACAGTATGCAGACCCTCTATTGTATATTATACAGTATGCAGACTCTATTGAATATCATACAGTTTGCAGACTCTCCATTGTATATTATACAGTATGCAGACTCTATTGAATATCATACAGTTTGCAGACTCTCCATTGAATATCATACAGTTTGCAGACTCTCTATTGAATATTATACAGTATGCAGTCTATATTTGTATGTAGTATATTAGAGCAGGCTCACTGTTATAGAGTGTATGTTAGTGTGCAGACTCCCTGTAGTATGTTAGTGTGCAGGTACAATGTAACATGTTACACCAGGCTGGCTGTGGTGTGGTGCAGGTTATGGCTGTGGTGCTGTGTGTTATGGCTGTGGTGTGGTGCTCTGTTATGGCTGTGGTGCTGTGTTGTGGCTGTGGTGCTGTGTGTTGTGGTGCTGTGTTATGGCTGTGGTGCTGTGTGTTATGGCTGTGGTGCTGTGTTGTGGCTGTGATGCTGTGTGTTGTGGTGCTGTGTTATGGCTGTGGTGTGGTGCTGTGTTATGGCTGTGGTGCTGTGTTGTGGCTGTGGTGCTGTGTTGTGGCTGTGGTGCTGTGTTGTGGCTGTGATGCTGTGGCTGTGATGCTGTGTTGTGGCTGTGATGCTGTGTTATGGCTGTGGTGCTGTGTGTTGTGGTGCTGTGTTGTGGCTGTGGCTGTGGTGCTGTGTTGTGGCTGTGATGCTGTGGCTGTGGTGCTGTGTGTGTGAGTGAGTGAGTGACTGACCTCTCGGCTGCTCACACAGCCCATGTCTCTCTCCTTCCCTCCAGATTGCTGCCGACAGTCCCGCAGTTGCACTCATTTCCGGTAAAGGATGATTTCCGGGACCAGCGCAGCAAATAGCAGCTCAGATACAGCAACAAACTGAGGGACACTGAGATACAGAGAGACTGAGAGACAGAGAGACTGAGATACAGAGACTGAGATACAGAGTGAGACTGAGAGACAGAGACACTGAGAGACACTGAGACTGAGATACAGAGTGAGACTGAGAGACAGAGACACTGGGAGACAGAGACTGAGATACAGAGTGAGACTGAGATACAGAGAGACTGAGACTGAGATACAGAGTGAGACTGAGAGACAGAGACACTGAGAGACACTGAGACTGAGATACAGAGAGACTGAGACTGAGATACAGAGTGAGACTGAGAGACAGAGACACTGGGAGACAGAGACTGAGATACAGAGAGACTGAGATACAGAGTGAGACTGAGATACAGAGACTGAGATACAGAGTGAGACTGAGACTGAGATACAGAGTGAGACTGAGAGACAGAGACACTGGGAGACAGAGACTGAGATACAGAGAGACTGAGATACAGAGTGAGACTGAGATACAGAGAGACTGAGACTGAGATACAGAGTGAGACTGAGAGACAGAGAGACTGAGATACAGAGTGAGACTGAGAGACAGAGAGACTGAGATACAGAGAGACTGAGATACAGAGTGAGACTGAGATACAGAGAGACTGAGACTGAGATACAGAGTGAGACTGAGAGACAGAGACACTCAGAGACAGAGACTGAGATACAGAGAGACTGAGATACAGAGAGACTGAGAGACACTGAGACTGAGATACAGAGTGAAACTAAGATACAGAGAGACTGAGATACAGAGAGACACTGAGGCTGAGATACAGAGACTGAGATACAGAGAGACTGAGATACAGAGAGACACTGAGGCTGAGATACAGAGTGAAACTAAGATACAGAGAGACTGAGATACAGAGACTGAGATACAGAGACTGAGATACAGAGACTGAGATACAGAGACTGAGATACAGAGAGACACTGAGGCTGAGATACAGAGACTGAGATACAGAGACTGAGATACAGAGACTGAGATACAGAGACTGAGATACAGAGACTGAGATACAGAGAGACACTAAGGCTGAGATACAGAGAGACTGAGATACAGAGAGACTGAGATACAGAGAGACTGAGATACAGAGAGACTGAGATACAGAGAGACTGAGATACAGAGAGACTGAGATACAGAGAGACTGAGATACAGAGAGAGACTGAGATACAGACAGACACTGAGGCTGAGATACAGAGACTGAGATACAGAGACTGAGATACAGAGAGACACTAAGGCTGAGAGACTGAGATACAAAGAGACTGAGATACAGAGAGACACTGAGGCTGAGATACAGAGAGACTGAGAGACACTGAGACTGATATACAGAGAGACCCTGAGGCTGAGATACAGAGAGACCCTGAGGCTGAGATACAGAGACTGAGATACAGAGAGACACTGAGGCTGAGATACAGAGAGACACTGAGGCTGAGATACAGAGAGACACTGAGGCTGAGATACAGAGACTGAGATACAGAGAGACCCTGAGGCTGAGATACAGAGGCTGAGATACAGAGAGACTGAGATACAGAGAGACTGATATACAGAGTCACTGAGGCTGAGATACAGAGAGACTGAGAGAGACTGAGATACAGAGAGACACTGAGACTGAGATACAGAGAGACACTGAGACTGAGATACAGAGAGACACTGAGACTGATATACAGAGAGACACTGAGGCTGAGATACAGAGAGACTGAGAGAGACTGAGATACAGAGAGACACTGAGACTGAGATACAGAGAGACACTGAGACTGATATACAGAGACACTGAGGCTGAGATACAGAGAGACTGAGATACAGAGAGACACTGAGGCTGAGATACAGAGACTGAGATACAGAGAGCCTGAGATACAGGGACTGAAATACAGAGACTGAGATACAGGGACTGAGATACAGAGAGACTGAGATACAGGGACTGAAATACAGAGAGACTGAGATACAGGGACTGAGATACAGAGAGACTGAGACTGAGATACAGGGACTGAGATACAGAGAAACAGACGGACTGAGAGACAGTGATACAGAGACACAGGGAAACAGTGACAGACAGAGATACAGTGAGAGATAGTGATACAGTGACAGAGAGACACAGACTGGGATACAGAGATACGGTGACTGAGAGACAGAGAGACAGTGACTGAGAGACAGACAGAGACAAGAGATACAGTGACTGAATGAGAGACTGAGAGACAGTGACTGAGAGACAGTGACTGAGACAGACAGATACAGTGACTGAGATACAGTGACACAGTGACAGGGAGTCAGAGACTGAGATAGAGCGACTGAGATACAGTGACTGAGATACAGTGACTGAGATACAGTGACTGAGATACAGTGACTGAGATACAGTGACTGAGATACAGTGACTGAGATACAGAGCGATAGAGACGGTGATACAGTAACAGAGATACAGTGACAGAAAGATAGAGACAGAGATACAGTGACAGAGAGATAGAGATACAGTGACAGAGATATAGTGTAAGAGATCCAGTGACAGGTACAGTACAGAGATGTACAACAACAACAATACATTCGTGTAGCGCCTTTCATGTCGGGAGGACGTCCCAAGGCGCTGGACAGAGTACAGCATTTCAGACCTGAGCTGGGGTTGGGGGGTAAGGGAGGGGAGGGTAAGGGGGGTGGCCAATTGCATGGTCGAAGAGGAGGGTCTTCAGGCGGGACTTGAAGGAGGCTAAGGAGGGGATGAGGTGGAGTGACTAGAGGATGGAATTCCAGAGGTTGGGGGCAGAGTGGCTGAAGGCTCTCCCGCCAATGGTGGGGCGGGTGGGTCAGGGGACATGGAGCAGGCCAGAGCCGGTTGAGTAGAGGGAATGGGCGTGTTGGTTGGGGGATAGGAGGTCGCAGAGGTAGGGTGGGGTGAGGCCATGGAGGACTTTGTATGTGCGGACCAGGATCTTGAACTGGATCCTCTAAGGATAGGGAGCCAATGGAGTCGGGTGAGAGTGGGGGAGATGGGGTCACGGAGTTTAGTGCGGGAGAGGACATGGGCTGCAGAGTTTTGGATTATCTGCCGCCTGTGGAGGGAGGAGTTAGGAAGCCTGAGAAGCAGAGCTTTTGCATAATCAAACCTGGAGGTGATGAAGGCATGAACAAGAGTTTCAGCGGCCTGAAGTGGAGATAATAATAATAATAATAATAATCTTGCATTTGATATAAACGCCTTTCACGTCTTCTAGACATCCCAAAGCACTTCACAGAATATACTGTAAAGTGAATTGACTGTATATTTGTGGGCGAACGCGGCAGCCAATTGCACACAGCAATGTCCCACAAACAGTCATGGATTGAAAATGACCAATTTATTATTGTTTTTGGTTTTGGAGGGATTATTATTAGGCTCTGTGTGGAGTAAGGAAACTTGTCCAAGGTTTCGCCCTCTGCCGGGGATTGAACTCGGGTCTCTCGCTTGCAAAGCGAGTGCTCTAACCACTGAGCTACAGGATACAGTGACAGAGAGATAGATACAGTGACAAGGAGATACAGTGACAGAGGGACACGGTGACGGAGGGACACGGTGACGGAGGGACACGGTGACAGAGGGACACGGTTACGGAGGGACACGGTGACGGAGAGATACGGTGACGGAGAGATATGGTGACGGGGAGATAAAGTGATTGGGAGACAATGACAGTGATACAGTGACAGAGAGATAGAGATACAGTGACTGACACAATGACAGAGAGATACAGTGACTGAGAGACAGAGGTACAGAGACACAGTGACAGAGGTAGAGATACAGTGACAGAGGGATACAGTACAGTAACAGGGATACAGTGACAGAGGGATACAGTGACAGAAAGATACAGTGACAGAGGGATACCGTAACAGGGATACAGGCACAGAATGATACATGACTGAGAGAGAGATACAGTGTCAGAGGGATACAGTGACAGACGGATACAGTGACAGAGGGATAGAGACAGAGACACAGTGACAGAGAGAGAGAGACAGAGGCCGTGTTTGATCATGATGTCGAGAGGGTGGCCACGGTTGTGGGTCAGCTAGTTGATGTAGATGGTGAGAATCAGCCAGAGGAATAAGGGAATAGACCAAGGGAAGCTTGGGATATGAGGACCAACCCACTGCCACATTGGTTGGGATGGGTGGTGTGGTGGTAGGTGTAGCCAGGAGGGGAGGCTTCATCTAGGGGGACGGAGATACGAGGGGAGATCCAGCTTTCCTTAAGACCAAGAATATCCATGTATTCATCCAGGATGAGATCATGGATAGTGAGAGCTTTATTGAAGCGGGAAAGGATATATTGTAGGGAAATGCAGATGGGTTTGCTGGTAGGGGAGTGGGACAGTGGAGAGAGTGGCATTGAGAGGATTTGTGGTCGTGTGGGAGAAATGACCATAGAATTTTGAGGAGCAGGGAGTGTTGGTGGGGTTATGGTTGAGGGAGGGGAAGGGATGTTTGCCTTCGGAGGTGGTTGCTGCGGAAAGAGTGAGCGATGGGACAGTTGGGGCGGCTGCTCTGGGACAACCAATGCTGGGAGCCATGATGGGCCTGTTGGAAGATGCCCAGGCTGGAGCAGAGGGAGGTAATGGTGGGGTCTAGGAGAGAGAAGGTGAGGAGGGCATGGGGAGAGAAGGACAGAGTGGGAGTAGCGGACAGAGGGGGATAGGAGGAGGAGCATTTCCAGGGGGATCAGCTCGGGTTGGGGCAGCAGCCAAAACACGCAAGCAGAAACCGGGAGCGAGTGATCAGTGGGAAAGCATCAGCCTGTGTGCTACAAGAAACAGTGCAGAGTGGGAAGAGGAAGTGGTAGGATGGTGGTCATGGCTTAAGTGCCAGACGTCGGGAGGGAAGGGAGGACAACGTACAGTGACAGAGAGAAACCTCTCAAAGACAGTCAGAACCTCGGTGTTCTGTTCGACCCTGAGCTGTCCTTTTTTCCCCA